GGCTGTGTCTTGCACGCCCCTGACTCAGGGATTGAGTCCACAACCCAGGCCTGTGCCCTGACAGGAATCTAACAGTGACCTCCTGGTCCGGAGGTGATGCTCAACTACTGAGCCACGCCGGCCGGGCTATAAAATTCTAACCTAGAAATTAAGCAAGAATGAGAAAAACCTAAAATATGGTTTTTAAATTAATAGTCCAAGTGTGTTACTAGAGAGGTAACCTAAGATTTTGAAAATCATCCTTTATCTCTTACTTTTCTCTCAGATCGTCTTGACCGGCATATTGGAGCAAGTCGTGAATTGTCGGGATGCTTTGGCTCAAGAATCCTCATGGAGTGTATTATCCAGGTAAGTGATAGCACTTCGTTGTCTTTTTAAAGATTTTTTAAAATATATATATTTTTATTTATTTCAAGAGAAAAGAAGAGGGAGCGAGGGATAAAAAAACACCCATGATGAGAGAGAATCATGGATGGCTACCTCTTCCAAGTCCCCACTGGGATCAAGCCCATAACCGGGTATATGCCCTTGACCAGAATCAACCTGGGACCTTTCAGTTCGCAGGCTGATTCTCTATCTACTGAGCCAAACAGGCTAGGGCAATTTATGTGTTTTTTTTAAACAACCCACTTTATAGTTCATTAATTTTCATTTTTTTTTTTAATCTTGACAGAGGAGAAATGGGCTTTGGGTGAAATAAAGCATTCCTTTCTCCTGCCGCTAACATGTGGTCTCTGTGTTTCCCCCAAGTGTCAGCGAACCTCCCATTCCCAGTCTCATTAGGCGCAGCAGAGTGGGTGCCGTGGTTAGTGGACCGGTCTGTCTGGCTTATGGTGGAGAGCTTAGCGTATTTTAATTTGGTCCCCCGAGACCGGAAGCGATCTCTCCAACGAGTTCGGACTCTCAGTACCGGCCCAGAGGCTGACGTGAGCTGTGTTTGCTGTCCAGTCAGCTCTGGCTTGGTTTTTTCAGGTTTTCCCCGACGAGTTCCACTTGCAGACCCTGAAAACCTTTCCTCCGGGCCTGCGCCGAGCTGCACCAGAAACGTGAACGTGAAGAAACATCATCATCGCGCTGATCGACAGGTGAGAGCTCCGGGCGAACTGAGCTCCAGTGACACGTGAGAGGCCGTCCTGACACGTGAGACGCGTCCTGCGTCACTCCCGCTCCCGAGTTACTACGCAGCGCCTGCCACGTACACGTCTAGTTCTGGAAGCGCCAGTACCGATCAGTGCTCCTCTCACTTAGCAGGAAAGAGGTTCGCGTTTAATTGTGCAGAAGCATGAGATAACATACACATATAGAAATATCTTTTTATTGATGTCAGAGAGGAAGGGTGAGGGAGAGAGAGAGGAAACATCAGTGATGAGAGAGAGTCATTGATCGACTGCCTCCTGCATGCCTCCACTGGGAATGGAGCCCTGGCCAGGAATCGAACCATGACCTCCTGGTCACAGGTAAATGCACAACCACTGAGCCACCCCAGGCTGGGCTAAAGATTGTCCTGTTAATCTTTCTGTTGAATACATCAGTCTCCTCTAACGCATTTCCTGTCCGTATCTGCTTAAGTCAGGCTTCACGGAGTTTGGCAGCATTGGCCTGTTGAGAACCCATTTCTGTGTGGCACCCACGTTTGGGAGAAGTGGGATTGCAGGGAAGTAGGGCTTCCCGGCAGACTGTTTAGGGTAAAAGGGAGTGAGGAAGTGTCGGCTGCATCCGTCCTTTTCAAGCCCTTTCTGCTCCCGGAGAAAGACCCCCGCAGGAGGTGGGCAGGCGTGAGGCGGCATGTCCTCGGACCCCACCCCGCCCGCCCTCACCAGGCCGTCTGCCCCAGGTTGGCGCTGTTCGCGCACCGCGAGGACGGGCCCGGCATCCCCGCAGACATTCAAGCTCTCGACATCTTCTTCCCAGCAGGTGGCCACCGTGATCCAGGTGGGTGTGGGTCCGCCGTGCAGGCCCGAGCCCCAGCCGGGAGGGAGGCCCCGTGTGACTGACTGACTGACTGACTGACGAATCCCGTGCCTCTCCCCTCCGCAGTCCAGACAGGACATGCCCTCGGAGGACGTCGTGTCGCTCCAAGTGTCGCTCATCAACCTGGCGATGAAGTGCTACCCGGACCGTGTGGACTACGTGGACAAGGTGCTGGAGACCCGGTGGAGATCTTCAACAAGCTCAACCTGGAGCAGTAAGTCGGTACCCTCCGGTGTGACGAACAAGTTCGTTCTTAACCCGAGGGAGACTCTGTGCCAGCAGCAGCTCCCCGAGAAGGAAGGGGCTCCGAAAAGGAGGGCTGTGCAGGATGTCAGGTGTGGGCGTTAAGGAGGTTTGCGATCCCGTTTTGAGCTTCGATGCCATCAAGAAGAGAAGACTTAAGAGCCGCTTTAGTGGAGCTCTGCCAGGCCTGCGGCACCCTCTAGTGGCCACTTTGGACATTTACGAGCCCTTTGTTTTTCTCAGTGGTCCCTTCCTGTCCCGCCCCTCTGTTGCTGAGTGGGTCCAGCTGGCCCTCGCTCTATCACTGTTCCACCTCATGTTTTCACCTCATGCCTCGCCCTCCCTCCGCCTCCAGGGGCCTCCCTCCCCCTCCAGGGGTCTCCCTCCCCCTCCCGGGGCCTCCTTCCGCCTCTGGGGCCTCCCTCCCTCCGGGGGCCTCCCTTCCCCTGCAGGGGTCTCCTTCCGCCTCCCGGGGCCTCCCTCCGCCTCCAGGGGCCTCCCTCCGCCTCCGGGGGCCTCGCTCCGCCTCCGGGGCCTCCCTCCGCCTCCAGGGGCCTCCCTCCGCCTCCAGGGGCCTCCCTCCGCCTCCAGGGGTCTCCTTCCGCCTCCGGGGCCTCCCTCCGCCTCCGGGGCCTCCCTCCGCCTCTGGGGGCCTCCCTCCGCCTCTGGGGGCCTCCCTTCCCCTGCAGGGCCTCCCTCCGCCTCCGGGGGCCTCCCTCCGCCTCTGGGGGCCTCCCTTCCCCTGCAGGGGTCTCCTTCCGCCTCCAGGGGCCTCCCTTCCCCTCCAGGGGCCTCCCTTCCCCTCCAGGGGTCTCCTTCCCCCTCCGGGCCTCCCTCCGCCTCCAGGGGCCTCCCTTCCCCTCCAGGGGCCTCCCTTCCCATCCGGGGGCCTCCTTCCCCCTCCAGGGGTCTCCTTCCGCCTCCGGGGCCTCCCTCCGCCTCCGGGGCCTCCCTCCGCCTCCGGGCCTCCCTCGCCTCCAGGGCCTCCCTCCGCCTTCCAGGGGCCCTCCCTCCGCCTCCAGGGCCTCCCTCCGCCTCCGGGGCCTCCCTTCCCCTCCAGGGGCCTCCCTTCCCCTCCAGGGGTCTCCTTCCGCCTCCGGGGCCTCCCTCCGCCTCCGGGGCCTCCCTCCGCCTCCGGGGGCCTCCCTTCCCCTCCGGGGGCCTCCCTTCCCTGCAGGGGTCTCCTTCCGCCTCCGGGGCCTCCTTTCGCCTCCAGGGGCCTCCCTCCGCCTCCAGGGGCCTCCCTCCGCCTCCAGGGGCTCGCTGCAGCAGGAGGGTGGCTTTTCTCGCACCTCTTCCTGGCCCCTCTTCCCTTGGGTCTGGGCCATTTTTTGTGTGACCTGACAAGCATTTCAGATCTTGAATGATAACACTGATGTCTCTGTATCTTCCCTTACTAAGTGAATTTTAAAGTAAAATTAGGTAAAATGAAGACTTAGAAATCCCGATCTCTACAATTCTCTAAGCGGCCGCTGCCCGTCTCCACCAAAGCTCCACAGGCTGCTGCCTGAAACCCAGCTGCTTGTCCCGAATCCCCGCTGTCTGACGCAGAAGCGGGAGTTGGTGGTCCTCCTGGTCGGTGGACTTGCTCATTTGGCCTGGTTTTTTCTCCCACTTACCTTTGTGGTGCTCACAGCACTTACCAGCCGCCCAGGGACCGAGCCACCGCTCCCACCCTCCCTCAGAAACAGCGAATTCCAGACAGTCATTTAGCCTCCAGCTCCGCAGCCCGGCATTACTGAGGCCATTGTTGGCACTAGGATGTTAGGAGGTGAAGACACGTGTCAGGACACGCATCCCGGGAGGAGGGCGGTGGCCGGGGCGGGCGCCTCTCCGTGCCGGTGAGAGGTGAGAGGTGCAGACGGCCGTGCACACCGCCGCCTGTGCGGGAGCTGGTTCTGCGCAGTGAGGCCGCCCCCTTCCCTGCCTCCCAGCATCGCCACCAGCAGCGCCGTCTCCAAGGAGCTCACCAGGCTCCTGAAGATCCCCGTGGACGCCTACAGCAACGTGCTGACCGTGCTGAAGCTGAGGCACTTCCACCCGCTCTTCGAGTACTTCGACTACGAGTCCCGGAAGAGCATGAGCTGCTACGTGCTCAGCAACGTGCTGGACTACAACACGGAGATCGTCTCTCAGGACCAGGTGAGCCGGCGCCAGCGGGAGTGAAGGTCAGTCACGGGGTGGAGGTGCACGAGGGAGGGAGCCCGCGCTGCCTGGCCTCTGCCGCAGGCCTGCCCATCCCTGCTTCTGGGACGAAGTGCATTGTGGGCACAGGGGGAACCGCCCACTGGAAGCCTGAACAGCAGCTTTTTCTGGCTATGGCTTCACCCGGTCTCTGTCTCATGTACAGGTGGACGCCATAATGAACCTCGTCTCCACGCTGATCCAGGACCAGCCCGATCAGCCCGCGGAGGACCCTGACCCCGAGGACTTTGCCGACGAGCAGAGCCTCGTGGGCAGGTTCATCCACCTCCTGCGGTCGGAGGACCCCGACCAGCAGTACCTGGTACGAGTCCGCTCTCCCTGCGCCCTGCGCCCCCGGGAGGCAGGCACGGGCGTGGCTCTCGGGTCACAGCGGGCTGCAGGAGGGTTGGAAGGAATGGCGGCTGATGAGAGATGGAGTGGAGTCCGTAGACTTTCCTCTCCTGATAAGCATTGTTTGTAGTGCCTGGAGCTCTGCTCCTTATCCTTTTAACTGGTGCTTTAAGCATAAGAGCAATCCTGTAGTCAGGTTTGCAGGTGGGAGTGGTGCTGCCACGTTGGAATGGGATGGAGTCTCCTTAGCGCCTCCACCGGCACTGTGCTTCCTGCACGCGCTCGGGGACTGTGCAGCCCTCTGCCCTGACGGTGGCCTGCAGCCTCTCCAAGCCCCGTCTGTGAGGTGGGGTTCCTGTGTGTCGGGTGACATGCTGCGAGGTCAGAGGTGTGTGGGCCCTCGGTGGGGCTAGCAGCTGTGAGAGACCCAGTGCTGCCTCTGATTGGACAGCGGTGAGTCCCGGAGCAGAGAAGACTGATGGCATTGCGGGTGTTTCACCAGATTTTAAACACGGCACGGAAGCACTTCGGAGCTGGTGGGAACCAGCGGATCCGCTTCACGCTGCCACCCCTGGTGTTCGCCGCCTACCAGCTGGCCTTCCGCTACAAGCAGAACTCCAAAGTGGTGGGTGTGCGTCTCATTGTGCTGTCTACTCCCCCCCCCCCCCCCCCGTGTGCACTTAGTGCGTTTCTATAGGAACAGCCACTGCTCGAGCAGACGGTGGCTCGTTCTCCCGTCCCCCAGTGATGCTGGCAGATCAGGCACCGGCCGAAGGCACGGAAGTGAGAGCTCAGCCGGGCTAAGTGTGTGCTCGGAGCAGCCCCGGTAGGAAGTTTCCTTTGAGACCCGAGTCCTACCAGCTGCCTCGGTCTTCAGTCTGACAGAGCGGCTGCACAGCCCAGGCTCCGGCGTAGCGGCCACACGGCAGGGCTGCAGGCATGTAGGTGGGGCAGCTCTGCCCGGGAGGCCGGCCGGTCCCCTCTCCACGAGCCCCCATCGAGGCGTCTCGGGGTTGGACCCATTGTGGGTTGTTTGCTTCCTTTTTAATTCTTTCAATTTTTATTGTTAAAATACATTTTTACTAAATTCAGAGAGAGAAAGAGGAACATCAATGATGAGAATCATTGGTCGGCTGCCTCCTGCATGCCCCCTACTGGGGATTGAGCCCACATCCCAGGCGTGAACCCTTGACGGGAATTGAACCTGAGACACTTCAGTCCACAAGCTGACGCTTTCTCTGCTGAGCCCACCAGGAAGGGCTGGACTCATCATTTATGAGCGGCTGTAAAGCAGAAAGCAGGACTGTGTGCAAGGTCCCCGTCAAGTTACATTTGCCAAGAAGAAAGAAAGTGTTATCAGGGATTATTGCTGGTGATAGATTTAGGGATGGTTTTAATTTTCACAAATCTTTTTTTGTTTATTTTTCTAATTTTGTCCAAATTTGGCATGTGTTGCTTTTCTGAAGAGAGAGAACAGGTGCCTAGTATGTGAGGAGTGCACTGGGAGCGGGAAGGGCGTGAGGAAACTGCCGAGGCCTGTGCTCGGTGTGTCTGGGAGGCTCGCGTCCAGGGAGTGTCCTGGCCCACCGGACCTGCGGTAAGCAGCCGGCTTCGTGTTGCAGGACGACAAGTGGGAGAAGAAGTGCCAGAAGATCTTCTCCTTCGCCCACCAGACCATCAGCGCGCTGATCAAGGCCGAGCTGGCGGAGCTGCCGCTGCGGCTGTTCCTGCAGGGCGCCCTGGCGGCCGGCGAGATCGGCTTCGAGAACCACGAGACGGTCGCGTATGAGTTCATGTCCCAGGTGAAGAGCTGCCCCCTCTGGGTCAGCCGCCTGGGTGGTGCCAGGCCGCCCCCTCCCTCCCTGGGCTTGGGACCTTAGTGCTGCGGCCACAGGGACCGTTCGGAGAGGGAGACCCTCAGTTACGGGTGCTGGTGAGCCTCGGTTCCCACGGTCCTGGCAGAACTTCTTGGGGAAAGTCCTTCGCCCCTTCGGACGGGGAGGCCTGGGCTAAGCAGGAGCTGAGCCCGCCTTCCTGCTGCAGCCGGTCAGCATCCCGCTGCCTCCTGCTTCTCCCGGGCCGCACGCGCCCATCCGAGGCCTGCAGGAAGCCTCCCGGAGGGCGGGGTGTGGTGGACCTGCATGGGCAGTGCCCGCGGGCATGGCTGGTACCTACAGGCCCCGCTCTGCCCGCCAGGCGTTCTCCCTGTACGAGGACGAGATCAGTGACTCCAAGGCCCAGCTGGCGGCCATCACGCTGATCATCGGCACGTTCGAGAGGATGAAGTGCTTCGGCGAGGAGAACCATGAGCCGCTGAGGACGCAGTGCGCGCTCGCCGCCTCCAAGCTCCTGAAGAAGCCGGACCAGGGCCGCGCCGTGAGCACCTGCGCCCACCTCTTCTGGCCGGGCCGGAACACCGACAAGAACGGGGAGGAGGTGAGGCCTGGGCCGCTGCCGGAGAGAGGGAGGGAGGGAGGGTGGCAGGCTGTGCCTGGCGGCGAGGCGCTGGAGGCCAGGAAGCCGCTCCGGGGAAGGAGCCGGAAGGAAAGGAATGCATAGAGTGACATCCTGCGGGACGCCTGCTTCCGCTTAGAGACTAACAAACCGCGGGGTGAGGCTGCTGCCTTCAGCAGACACACCCGTACCCAGGCCCGCCTGCTCAGTGCGGGCTGCTGGCTCTGCAGAGAGCGTCCAGCCCACGGGGGCGCCGTTTCCCACGGCACGTGGCCCCTCGTATCTCGTAGTTGCTGTGCTCCGTGTGTCAGGCCTGTTCCTGACCTCACACTTGGTGACGTGACCTGTGCTCGTGGTGTCCTGCTGTCATGTCGGGGTGTCCTGGGACCGGGATTGCTGTGTGCGCTGACTGCTCCGCCCACCGGCCATCCCTGTCTCCCTCTCTCCCTCTGCTTCCTCTTATCATTAGTGGCTGCTGAGGAGGCTGACGCAGCTCCTTTTTACTGCAATGCTCGCTTTATTGTGGTCTGGGACCTAGCCCACAACGTCTCCGAGTGTGCTGTGTGTAAATATAAACATAAACATGCAAAGCAAGGGACCTGTTTGCTTTAAAACGGAGCTGCGTGCTTTAGACAAGGAAGATTAGATTCTTTTTGCCCTTTGGAACATGAGCAAGATGCATAGAGCTGTGTGTATGTCCCTGTGGCCCGGATGTTCGTGAAACACTGACCTCGTTAACAAGCCCCCCACCCCCCCGTTCAGTTGCACGGCGGCAAGAGGGTCATGGAGTGCCTGAAGAAAGCCCTGAAGATCGCCAACCAGTGCATGGACCCCTCGCTGCAGGTGCAGCTCTTCATAGAGATCCTCAACAGATACATCTACTTCTACGAGAAGGAGAACGACGCGGTGAGTGCCCTCCGCCCTGCCCTCAGGCGGTGCGTGCGCGTGTACGTCCTGACACCGTGGGCGAGTCCACCTCCTGGTCTCTGAGTCTCCAGACCCCGCTCTGTCCATGTGGGCATCGCGTTTGCTGAGGGATGTTTTGTAAAAACAGCCACTGCCTGTCCAAGACACCAAACGACTTACCTAGGAGGCTGCCTTGTCATCACGTACAAGCTAGAATGATTCTCGAAGGAGAATGAGGATTTGTAGTTAAATCCTGTTTTGCTGCTGTTCTCTTACTGGTTCATGAGGCTCTGTATTTTTTAATTACCTCCCCCCCCTTTTTTATGACTAGCTCATAGTTGTAGCTTCAGTAGGAACCCTGCTCTCATCTCTTCTTTCTTTTCATGATCGCTCTGGTAATTGGTGCGAGGAACACGAGCTCCTCAGAATGTTTTCCTTAAGTGACCTTCGACCCTGTGCGCTGGTGCTGGGTCGTGAGCGTGTGCACGTTGCTTGCAGGTCACAATTCAGGTTTTGAACCAGCTTATCCAGAAGATCCGAGAGGACCTCCCCAACCTGGAGTCCAGCGAGGAGACGGAGCAGATCAACAAGCACTTCCACAACACGCTGGAGCACCTGCGCCTGCGGCGAGAGGCGCCGGAGTCCGAGGGGCCCATCTACGAGGGCCTCGTCCTGTGAGGGCGCCGCCGCACGGCCAGGGTGCGGGCTGCGGGCTGCGGCCGCCTCCCTCGATTGTGCCTTCAGAAAGGCTGCGGTAGGCCTCGTCTCTTCCCTGTGACGTGTGACCGGCGCCTCCGGACACTCACCTCCGAGACCTTAATAAAGTTATTCACTTCATAAGTGTGCAGGTCGGCTCATCACCCAGCTGGCATGATTTGCTATTTAAAATTACCGTGATTGTAAAAAAACAAAACAGAGTTATCCAGAAACCACTCTCGGCTACTGATGAAGCTCTCCTTCCCCCTCCCTGTCCTGCCCATGTTGGCTGTGTCATTGCCTCATCGCTGGGAGCACTGACCCGGCCGGAAGTCTGTCTCTTTGTTCGCTAGTCCAGTGTGAGGTAGACGAAAGGAATACTGTATGTGAAGTTCAGCCGGGCTCCTCCCTACGTGCAGGATGAGGCCCTGTATAGTATTTTCCCTAAAACTAGAATATATTAATGCATGTGTGAGGATCTAAAGCACCATGGTCAAACCAGAAGCTATATTTTGCATATTGGGGCTCAGCCATCCAGTAAGAACCTATCTGGTTCTCTTGACATATTTATCAAAATAATTTTGTTCTAAATAGTATAAAATAGAAAATTTGTGATCTATGTAATTTATGTATAACCTTCCATGTAAATTTAGGGGGAAATACTTCAGACCATTATCAGAAATTTTTTTTTTTTTTTCACCAGTGAGAATAAAGTTGCTATTAACAGTCCGGACTCTTCTTTCATACTGACTCATACGGGAACCAGCAGGTGCTGTGGGTGCAAAGCCTGCTGAGCCACGTCACCGGCAGGCTCCGCCGCCTCACACCTGGCATCCTGGCGGCCCTGCTGTCACTGGCCTCTCCTCTCTGCCGGCACAGCCCTCAGGGCGCTACTGGAGTTAGGCTGCTTCTGATGCTCGCTGTGCTGGGTTAAACTGGGTGCTACTTACCTTTTTGTGTTTTTATTTTCTTTACCCTTCTTCTTGGTGACTGTTTTCTCATCTGTATTCCTGGCCTCGGGACGGGTTTTTTGTTTTGTTTTGTTTTAATATATTTTATTCATTTTCCACAGAGAGGAAGGAAGAGGTATAGAGAGAAACGTCGATGAGAGAGAAACATTGACCAGTTGCCTCCTGCACACCTCCCACCGGGGATGTGCCCGCAACCAATGTACATGCCCTTGACCGGAATTGAACCTGGGACCTTTCAGTCCGCAGACCGATGCTCTATCCACTGAGCCAAACCTGTTTTTGAATCTTGAATGAGGATGCAGGCAGAGCGTGCAGGGCGGGTCCTGTGCACAGTGTTCAACCGCTAGTGTCATTGGAGATTGTACTTGGCTTTGATGGTAAATGTGGGCAAAACACACGTTTTGTACATTTAATTGGACGTTATTTCCAAATGTGTGCGTCTGAGTGGGTGAAGGAGCGGGTGGAGGGGGCTGGAGGTGAAAGGGTGGCCGGGTGAAGCCCAGTCACCGCACGAAGGAGGCCAACTACAGTGTTTATTGTCACCCGATGCCTTTTCTGCTTCGCCCGATGTCTGCGAACGGCCATTAGCGTTCTGGAAATCATCCCAAAGGATGACCCATTTCAACGTGGTCCAAGTTCTGCCCAGAGCTGGGCGGAGGACGGCGGTCCGCCTGGCCAGTAGGTGGCGCCCAGGCGCTGCCCGGGGCTGGAGGCGCCTGGAGAGGGCGGGCCCCTGCGGGCTGGGGGCGGGCGGGCACGCAAGCTCCCCTCTGATTGGCCCGGGCGCCGCGGCTGCCGTCCAATCAGGGGCGCCGCGCGCTCACGCAGCCGGGCGGCGGCGCCCGCGCACATTTGAAATGGCCGACGAGCTGCCGGCGGGGCTGGGGCTGCGCCCCGAGGCGCCGGGGCCGGGGCCGGGGAGCGCGGGCGGCGCGGCCCGGGAGGCGCCCCCGGAGGAAGGTGAGTGCGGACGGCGGGCGGGGCGAGGGCCCGGAGCGCCCGGCCCGGCGGGTCTGCGAGGCCCGGCCCCGGGCGCCTGCGTGTCGGCCCCGGGCGTGTCCGGCCCCCGGGCGTGTCGGGCCCCGGGCGTGTCGGCCCCCGGGCGTGTCGGCCCCGGGCGTGTCGGGCCCCCGGGCGTGTCGGGCCCCGGGCGTGTGTCGGGCCCCGGGCGTGTGTCGGGCCCCGGGCGTGTGTCGGGCCCCGGGCGTGTCGGCCCCCGGGCGTGCCGGCCCCCGGGCGTGTCGGGCCCCCGGGCGTGTCGGCCCCCGGGCGTGTCGGCCCCCGGGCGTGCCGGCCCCCGGGCGTGTCGGGCCCCCGGGCGTGTCGGGCCCCCGGGCGTGTCGGCCCCCGGGCGTGTGTCGGGCCCCGGGCGTGTGTCGGGCCCCGGGCGTGTCGGGCCCCCGGGCGTGTCGGGCCCCGGGCGTGTCGGGCCCCGGGCGTGTCGGGCCCCCGGGCGTGTCGGGCCCCGGGCGTGTGTCGGGCCCCGGGCGTGTCGGCCCCCGGGCGTGTCGGCCCCCGGGCGTGTCGGGCCCCCGGGCGTGTGTCGGGCCCGGGCGTGTCGGCCCCGGGCCGCTGCCCTCCGAGCGCGGAGCGACACCCCCCCCCCGCCCCCGGGCCTGCGGGCGGGCGGCACCGGCACCCAGGCCCGCTCGGCCCCCCTCCCCCTCGGCTACAGCCCAGCACCCAGCACCCAGGTCTCTGCTCGCCGCCCCTCCCCCTCGGTCACGGCTCACAGCACCCAGGGCAGGTGGCACCCGGCACCCAGGCCCCACTGGGCCCCCCTCCCTCGCGGTCCCCTCCCCCTTGGCTACAGCTCAGCACCCAGCACCCAAGTCTATGCTCACCGCCCCCCCCTTGGTCACGGCTCAGCACCCAGGCCCGGCTCGGCCGCCTCCCCCTCAGGGAGGCCCCACTGTGTCCGCCCCCCGCTGGAAGCTGTGGGACTGGGATGGGGAGACCCCAGAGGGAGCAAAGGAAGCGGACCTCACACCGCCACTGCTCCCCCTCTCCCCCCCAGCCACCTGGGCAAGTCCCGGGTTTCGGCTTCCCCATCTGGATGGCTGCGGGGACAGCTGCGGGGACAGCTGCGGGCCCTCCGAGGGTGGAGGCGCAGGGAGGGTGGGAAAGGGAGCTTTCAGAGGGGCCTGAGGAGCCCTGCAGGTGTGTGTGCACGCACTGTCGGCACTGACACCTCCACGTCCACCTCCCTCCTCCCTCCTCCCTCCTCCAGCGCCCACCATCCACCCGGGAGCTCCTGTGGGTGAGGAAGGGGTTCTGTGACGGATCATAGACTCCTCGCTGGGCAGGTCACGCTGTGCAGCCGCGCCCAGGCATAGGACCGCTTTAGTGAACGGTCTCTGCCTTAAGCCAGCCTCTCTGAAATTTAAAACAAAACATAAAAAATCGCATACACATATATACGGAGTGGCCAGATTATGATGGTCTGTGAACGCTCTGTGTGTGTATATATCTTAGAGGCCCAGTGCATGAATCCGTGCGTGGGTGGGGCCCGGCCAGCCTGGCCAGGGGGAGGGGACATGGCGGTTGGCCGGCCTGACTGCTGGTTGAACTCCAGGTCGAGAGGACAATTTGCATATTAGCCTTTTATTCTATAGGACAGACACGGAGTGGCCAGATTATTATAGTTCAGAGATCGTCACCATCTGGCTCACAGCACCCAGGCCCTCCTTGGCCCTCCCCCCCCTCAGCCACGGCTCAGCCGACAGATATAAATCTATCTGTGATTCCTCGGGTGACCTCCACTTAATTCAGTGGCAGGCGCCTCCTGGGGAAGCTCAGAAACAGGCCTGGCCCGGGAGGAGAACTTGGGGTTTGGGGTGTGCTTCCCTTCAGGGCGGCGACGGGAGGGGAGCGTGTGGCTGTGGGCGCTGAGCGGGGCGCGAGGGGGAAGCGGCCTGAACCCCGAGGCCCGGCCGCTCCGCTGACGCGGGCGGTTCCTTCAGGTTCGCCCCCAGACGGAGATGCGAGCAGCGACTGCGGCCGGGAGGACAGCCCGGGGTCCCGGTTACCCCGCTTCGTGCTGCAGGGGAAGACCCACTTCCCGGAGCTGTTCCAGACCGGCCACCTCCCGCTCTACGAGCGCTTCCGGGCCTACCAGGACTACATCCTCGGTGAGCCCGCCGCCCGAGCCTGCCTCGGCGTCCGGGCGCCGTCTGGCTCGGCCCCCGTGGCGGTGGCCGGTGGGCCCCGGACCCCTGGCTGTGGTGCGGGCCTGTTTGTGTGCGTGGCCGCCCCCCCGCCGGGCACAGCCTCAGGGCCCCCCGTGCTTCCTCTCTGCAGCCGACTGCAAGGCCTCGGAGGTGCGCGAGTTCACGGCCGAGTTCCTGGAGAAGGTGCTGGAGCCGTCGGGGTGGCGGGCCGTCTGGCACACCAGCGTGTTCGAGGTGCTGGTGGAGGTAAACTCACGCCCTCGCTGAGCTCCCTGTGCCTCTCGCTGAAAGCACTTCCCTTCGCGCCGTCACGGCCAACGCCCGGCTCCTAGTTAAGGTTGATGAGCCGATTGAAACCAGCCTGTCTTTCGCATCTACTCGCCCCTGCAGGCCCCTTCCTATGTGCTTCGCCCCTGATCGCCTTGGGGGGCTCCCCCCATCCTGTCCCCTCTGCTCACTGCCCTTTACTTCCTCTGGATCCAGCAGGAAACTCGGCCTTTCTGCACCAGCAGCTGCCGAGCTGGCCTCTGCCACAGGCCCTGAGGGCTGCTGCCGCCCCCCCTTCCCATTGCAGCTCCCAAGCGGCTTCCTCCCCTGCTAGTCAGACTCTGCCCCATACTGTCACCGTCTTGTCGGTCAGTTCCCTCCATCGCTGTGTCAGCCCCGTGTGGGCCGGCGCCAGGCCCGTCTGTTCGTCCTCTGAGTGAGGGCCGCAGGCTCTCCGCTCCGGCTCCTGTTCCACACACCAGCCCCGCGCGGTGCTGGGCGGGCCTCCTCCCCGGGGTCCGTGTGGTCAGCCCTCGTCTTCACTCGGAGGTCACGGACGTGGACTGCGCAGCCCTGGAGGCCGCGGTGCGGCTGGCGGAGCCCTGCCTGTGCGAGGCGCGCGCGGGCACCTTCACGGCGGAGTGCGTGCGGGAGCTCCTGGAGCTGAAGGGCTGGCGGCTGCCCCTGCGGGAGCTGTGGGTGGTGTTCGACGGCTCCGGGGCCCTGGACCAGACGGCGCTGGCCGTGGAGCACGTCAGGTGGGCGGCGCGGCGGGAGCTCCCCCACAGGCGGGCGTGAGGCCAGGCCCGGCGTCCTCTCCCGGGGGCGGGCTGCGGGCTGCGAGTTTCCCCTCGCTCTCCCCCGCCCGGAGCCAGGGTTGAACTGGAGTGGCACGGTCTCCGCTTCAGGTTTTTCTACCAGCACATCTGGAGGAGCTGGGACGAGGAGGAGGAGGACGATTACGACTACTTTGTCCGCTGCGTGGAGCCGCGGCTCAGGCTGTGAGTGTCCGCGCCGACCTTGAACTTGACCCGGGGTCCAGCTAGACCTGTGGTCCAACTTGACCTGTGGTCCAACTTGAGCCGTGGTTTAACTTGATCCCTGGGTTAACTTGACCAGTGGGTTAATTTGACCCGGGGTTTAACTTGTGGGTTAACTTGACCCGTGGGTTAACTTGACCCGTGGGTTAACTTGACCCGTGGGTTAACTTGACCTGTGGGTTAACTCCACCTGTGGGTTAACTCCACCTGTGGGTTAACTCCACCTGTGTGTGTGTGTGCTCCGGAGCCCGGACAGAGATAGGCCGCAGATGTACAGAAATCCACACATTTATTAAGGTTTTGAATCTGATAGGCGAGAAGATAATTTACTCAGCACTCCACTTCCGAGGGACGGCTCAGCCTTGCCCACCCCGCCCCCTCAGGAAGTGTGTCCGTGGGCTGAGCGCGTGGCCAGCTCCGTGGCCGGAAGTGTCCTCGGGGAGGGCTCAGCCGCTGTCGAACTTGCAGGCACTACGACATCCTGGAGGACCGTGTGCCCTCAGGCCTGGTCGCCGACTACCGCGGCCTGCTGGCGCGCTGCGAGGGCGTCTACCGCAGCTTCCTGGACCTGCGCAGCAGCCTGTCGGCCTACGGCGCGGACTCGGAGCAGGAGAACGTCTCCATGGTGCAGGGCCTGGAGCTGTACTCGGAGCTGGAGCAGCTCAAGCAGAAGCTGAAGCTGATCGAGAACCCCCTGCTGAGGTGTGGGCCCCTCGCCACCCCTGCCTGGCTTCTTGGCTTTTAAAAAAGAGGTTTCTATTGGTGTCAGAGGGGAAGGGAGAGGGAGAGGGAGAGACAGACATCACTGATGAGAGGGAATCATGGGTCGGCTGCCTCCTGCACGTCCCACAATGGGGATCGAACCCGCAACCTGGGCATGCGTCCCACCCGGGAATCGGACGTGCCCTCCTGGTTCATAGGTCGGCGCTCAGCCCCTCTGCAGGCCGTGCTGCTCACAGCCCCCTGCTTCCTCCCAGGTACGTGTTCGGCTACCAGAAGAATTCCAACGTCCAAGCAAAGGGCGCCCGGCCGCGTGGCCAGAGGGTCACCCACGTGGTGTCCTCCGCCATGGTGACGGGGCTGCTGCAGGCTCTGCTCAGGGACCGGCTGTGCCCGGAGCCAGGCGCGGAGGACACCGAGGTCCAGGTGAGGACACGGGGTCCAGGTGAGGACACGGGGTCCAGGTGAGGACACGGGGGTCCAGGTGAGGACACGGGGTTCCAGGTGAGGACACGGGGTCCAGGTGAGGACACGGGGGTCCAGGTGAGGACACGGAGGTCCAGGTGAGGACACGGGGGTCCAGGTGAGGACACGGAGGTCCAGGTGAGGACACGGGGTCCAGGTGAGGACACGGGGGTCCAGGTGAGGACACGGGGGTCCAGGTGAGGACACGGGGGTCCAGGTGAGGACACGGGGTCCAGGGCTGCCCCGCTGGCGTCTGTGCCGGGGCCGGACGGCTCGGGGTGCTCTGTCTGTGGGACCCCTTCAGAGGACATGTGGGACCCAGAGGCCCCCGGGCCACTGTGTCCTTGCTGCCCTCCAGTTCCACAGGGACCCGCTGGGGGCCATCGGCGCCTGCTACGAGGGCGACAGGGTGATCGTCTGTCCCGGCCGCTACGTGGTGCAGGGCGCCATCTCCATCGCGGACTCCATCGAGCTGGAAGGTGAGGGGGCGGCGGCCTCGGGAACGGGGACCTGCCTCGTGGACGGGGCGCCCGGAGGGAATGCGGTGCCAGCCCCTCGGTTTCACACAGGAAGGACCGGCCCGGTGTCTGAGCCACAGGGGGTGTTTCCTGTGGCCTCGAGTGTTGGAGGACACGCGGGGAGGAAAAGGCCACGGGCCCTGGCCAGGGTGGGTCAGTGGTTAGAGCCCAGCCCATGACCCACAGGATCACGGGCTCCGTTTCCAGTCAGGGGCACACACCCGGTTGTAGGGTCGATCCAAGGCACTTGTGTGAAAACCAGTCACTGATTCACATCCACGTCTCCCTCCTGCTCGCTCCTCTCCTCTTCCCTGCCTCCCACGCTCTAAAAAGATCCCCGGGACAGTACCCCTGGGTGAGCATTAACAATAAGGAAAGACTGCTTTCCAGGTTGTGAGAGGCGCATGGGCAGGAAATCTGGTCTCTAGAATAAAAAATGTCCCAGCAATATACTTTATTCCCCCCCCCCAGCAATATACTTTAAAAGCACATTTTAAAAAGTATTATTTTACGTGTTGCTTATTCTTAGCCCGTAAAAGTTGTGGGTATATGGGTGCATTATTTAAGAAAGTTTAGCTTATTTAAAAAAAAAAAACTGGCCTCAGGAAATCGAACCCGAGGCCCTTCAGTGCCTGGCCGACACTCCAGCCACTGCGTGTTGGGTTTTGAGTCGGTCTGTGTAAGAGAATGACGGCCGATAATCTGGAACCTCATTGTGTTAGGATAGGGGTGTCGAACTCAATCAGAGAAGGGGCCAAAATCTAAAATCCAGCCTAAATCGCGGGCCGAATGGTTTACTGAACAGTCATAAACTGTCATTGTGATGGAAACGCAGCGGAGTGCAGTGATGACAGCGCGGTGCGGGCCACATTGCAAGGCCTGGCGGGACGGATTTGGCCCGTGGGCCTTGTGTTTGACACGTGTGTTAGAAGAACAGGATCCTGAGCTGGCAAAACCGCTGTGTCACGTGCGTCAGAGCCCGCGGGCCCGTTTTACAGCAGATTTTGTGCTGAGCTGCCGGGGCTCTCGGCAGTTCTGATGGGGCGTTGAGGTTATTGGGTTGTGTCTGCTCTGGCCACGTGGAGCCGGTGTGTGGGGGTCCGTTTACTTCAGCGTCGCTGGGCCCGGCCGCGTCTGTCGGAGTTTGTGCTCGGCCGCCTCCGCCAGCAGCGCGCTCTCCCCAGGGTACGGGCTGCCCGACGACATCGTCATAGAGAAGCGGGGCCAGGGCGACACCTTCGTGGACTGCTCGGGCGCCGACGTGAGGATCTCCTGCGTGAAGTTCATCCAGCACGGCGCCGTGGAGGGCATCCTGGGTGAGGCTGCGCGGCCGCTGGCCGGCCTCGGGCACCCCGGCCCCAGGAGGTCAACCCGGGAGCCCCCACAGGCAGCCCGGGAGCCCCGAGAGCCCCCCGCAGGCAGCCCGGGAATCCCGGGCCCCGGGAGGCCAGCCCGGGAGCCCCGGGGCCCAGGAGGCTGGTCAGTTACTCACGTACTCAGGGTGCGGCCTGCGGAGCCCATTCCAGCTTGAGCGTGTCCGTGTCCCTGCAGTCGTCCACCGCGGCAGGACCACCGTGGAGAACTGCGTGCTGCAGTGCGAGACCACGGGCGTGACGGTGCGCACCTCCGCGGAGCTGGTCATGCGGGCCTCCGACCTGTGCGGCGCCAAGGTGCGTGCTCCCGTCCGGGGCGGGGTCAGGGGCGGCGCCAAGGTGTGTCCTCCCGGGGGGCGGGGGCGGGGCTGCAGCGCGGGCCGGAGGAAGAGGCAGCCCCAGCGCTGGGTGGGGGGAGGCGGCCATGCTGGGCCGCGCTCCTTTAGTGCCGTCCCCAGCGAGGTGAGTGGTTCCTGTGGCTGTTCTTCACCACCTTGAAGGGATTCTATTTCTGTTTTCTGAGAATTTCTGTAATGAATGTGTGTTTCCACTTGAAGATGTGTCTTCTGCATTCTTTGATATGGTCCCATGCTGCTGATTGATCGATCAATTAATAGAATCAGAAAACAGATTTGTCCAGAGTGAGAGCGGAACAACAGTGAAGGGCAGACACCTTAGCCAGTGTTGTGTGTGCGTGTGTGTGCGTGCGTGTGTGCGTGTGTGCGTGTGTGCGTGTGTGTGTGTGTGTGTGTGTGCGCGCGTGGTCTCTCAGAGTGATGAATGATGGACCACTTACTGGCGATGGAGCAGAGGCAGCGTCGCTAGAAACACACATTTTCTAGGAAAGCTTTCTCCTTGCACTCTGGCTCGCTGTCAGAGGTAAGAAAGGGCGGGGGGCCTCCGGCGCCCGCCTTCACAAAGGGCGCGGTGCCTTGCGGTCTAGGGGGCCGGCGTGGAGATCTACCCGGGCAGCACGTGCTCCCTGAGCGACAGCGGGATCCACCACTGCCGGGAGGGCATCCTCATCAAGGTGAGCCCGCCCCCGGCGTCCCTGGCCCTGGGGTCCGATGGGAAGGTGGGAACAGAGCGGTTTTGGGCTGCAGACACCGGTGCAGGGCTCTCGGAGGCCTGCGTGCGGCCTGAGGGCCGGGCTGCGGCCCTCGCTGGCTCCCGCTGTGCGCCCCCTTCCTGCTTCGGGATTGGGGTCGCCGGGAGCTGCGGTGGGTAGGCCGGGACCACGTTCACAGGCCCGTTTCGTTGTCACAGGACTTCCTGGATGAGCACTACGACCTCCCCAAGATCTCCCTGGTGAACAACATCATCCACAACAACGAGGGCTACGGCGTCGTCCTGGTGAAGCCGAGGATCTTCTCCGACCTGCAGGAGGACGCCCAGGGCGGAGCCGAAGGTGGGCCGCCCGTGCCTCCCGGAGCTCCTGCGCTGGCTGTCTGTCTGGGCAGCAGAGGGGCTGACTCAGTGCATGTGATGGAGGCCAGCCCTGAGCCGATCCTGCGTTTCTCAGCTGGAGTTTGGCCTGGTGGGGAGCCTCCTCCTCAGGGGCTGTGTCCTCAGGGCTCTGCAGGTCAGAGTGCAGGGGCGTGGCCCGGGGTTCTGGAGGTCAGAGTGCAGGGTCGTGGCCCGGGGTTCTGGAGGTCAGAGCAGGGGCGTGGCCTGGGGTTCTGGAGGTCAGAGTGCAGGGGCGTGGCCCAGGGTTCTGGAGGTCAGAGTGCAGGGTCGTGGCCCGGTGTTCTGGAGGTCAGAGTGCAGGGGCGTGGCCCAGGGTTCTGGAGGTCAGAGTGCAGGGGCGTGGCCTGGGGTTCTGGAGGTCAGAGTGCAGGGGCGTGGCCCGGGGTTCTGGAGGTCAGAGCAGGGGCGTGGCCCAGGGTTCTGCAGGTCAGAGTGCAGGGGCGTGGCCCGGGGCTCTGCAGGTCAGAGTGCAGGGGCGTGGCCCGGGGTTCTGGAGGTCAGAGTGCAGGGGCGTGGCCCGGGGTTCTGGAGGTCAGAGTGCAGGGGCGTGGCCCAGGGTTCTGGAGGTCAGAGTGCAGGGGCGTGGCCCGGGGTTCTGGAGGTCAGTGCAGGGGCGTGGCCCGGGGTTCTGGAGGTCGGTGCAGGGGCGTGGCTGAGGGTCTCACAAGGCCGCTGTGAGGTGTCAGCCGAGGGCTGTGACCCGGGGAGAGGATCTCTGAGCTGGTTCCTGTTGGCAGAACCGCGTCCTGAGGGTCAGGCCTGAAGCCTCCATCTGTGTTGGCTGCCGGCCGGGTCACGCTCCCCCAGTCGCAGGCGGGCCGCACAGCAGCAGGGACCTCCCTCGGCGAATCCCTCTTCCTGCTTCCTTCTCCCGGGGGCCGTGGGGCCAGGCCCACACCCGCCACCTCCTAAGGCCCGCTCGTTAGTTACCTCTGGCCTGACCCGTGGGCCCTTCAACAGTGACTCACAGCCGGCCAGCGTCCGGCAGCCAGCGAGCTCCTGGCGGTGCTGAGAGGGCGACGGGGCGGGAGGGGCCGTGGGTGAGAGTTCCCGGAGGAGGGGCCCCGTGGCCCCGTGGGGCTCCGGGCCCGTGTCTTGGGCGGGCGGGATCCGGCCGTGGAGCCGGTCCCAGTCGGGCTCCTTTGTCCCCAGAAAACAAGGCGCCGAGAGGTCCGCCGCAGGGGGAGGCCGCCGAGGCCGAGGGCGCGGACCCCGAGGAGCTGCTGGGGGGCCCGGCCCGGAAGGGGGGGCTGCGCCCCAGGCCCGGGCCCCCCGGGCACCCGGAAGGCAACTGCGAGATCGTCAGCGAGCTGGTGGCGGCCTCCGCGCAGAAGGGGCGGCTGAGGAGGAAGCGGCTGAGCGAGCTGGGCATCACGCAGGCGGACGACACGCTCATGGCCCAGGGCATGTTCGTGGCCATCGCCGAGAACCAGTTCAAGTGGAACGGCAAGGGCAGCTTCGGCACGTTTCTCTTCTGACGCGGCCGTGCACACGCCCGCCCCCTGCTCTGCCGCTGCCTCTGCTCCTGCTCGCTGGGCCCCGGCCAGTACCCGGTGGGTAGGGGCCTGCCTGCAGGTGCACGGACCTCCCTCTCTGCACAGGCGGTGGCTCCTGTGACACGGTTCTCTGACACCGAGCCTGTTGCAGCCCGGGCGTGAGCACACTCCCCGGCTCCTCGGAGCACAGGCAGGCACAAGGGCCCGTCGCCCTGGACCGCGCTGCCCCCTGCTGTGCCCTCTGGCCTGGGGCAGCGTGTCCGGCCCCAGCTGAGTTTGCACACCCCTCAGAGGACTAGCTCTTCCACGGGGGCCGCCCCGTCAGACTGCAGGGTTCGGGCTGCGTGCGTACGTGGCCTGTGGCTCCTGAGAGCAGACGTGGAGCGTGTACCAGAGCAGAGTGCGTGGAGCTGGCGGGCGTGGATCGTGTAGCAGTGTTCTGAGCCGGTTCTCACCCAGCTGTGCAGTCTGCCCTGTAAAGCCAGCTTTGGACATATTTATATTAAAAAGGTTAAATGTTACATTAATATACTAACGATTAAAGTGATGCTGATGACGGAATCGGATCTTGTGTTTTCCCAAGTTGGGGGGCCCTGTGGGTGGTGGGTGCCCTGTGGGGGCTGCGCAGGGAGGGCTTGGAGCTGTAGGACCAGCCTCCCTCTCTCCAGCGGCGGCTCTAACTGGAGCTCCTGGGACAGGCTGTGGTTGCAGAGCCGTCAGGGCGGTGAGAGAGGACGGGGAGGGCCCTGGGCGTCGGGATGGTGAGGAGGAGGGGGGTCTGGGCCGCTGGTCCCAGGGCCAGGGGGCGTGCGGGTGCCGAGGGCCAGCCCGAGCCCGGGTCAGGCCGCGGAGCGACCACGCCTGGGGTGCAGGCAGCAGATCCACGGGCCTCGTTCTCGGGGGCCTTGGAGCGGAAGGGGCACACACGTGTGATGGGAGTGGAACATGGGAGCAGGGCGGGGACATGGAGCCGGAGGAGAGGACGGGGTGGGGCCCACACAATACGACGTACAGATGGTGGATTATGGAACGGACACCTGAAACCTGTCGTTTTACTAGCCAAGGTCTCCCTGACACATTCCATAAACATTTAAAAAGTAAGGTTTCCGAGAACAAATAGAGAAGAAAAAAAAAAGTGATGTTTGCCGATAGCGGTCAGCCCCGGCCCGGCCGGCATGGCTCCGGCTGAGCTTCAACCTAGGATCCAGGAGGCCAGGGTTCGATTCCCACTCAGGGCACAGGCCCGGGCTGTGGGCTCCATCCCCAGCGCGAGGCGTGCAGGAGGCAGCCGGTCCATGATTCTCTCTCATCACTGATCTCTCTCCCTTTCCCTCTGAAATCAATTTTAAAAAAGGGGGGGTTCAGCCCGGCAGAGCGTGGCCCCCTGTGCTCAGGGACAGTCCCCGGGCCGCGCCCAGCGCCCAGCGAGGGGCACGGGGGGAGCTGGGGCCCCGGGACGCACAGCCGCCGCCCCCTCGGTCGGGGGGCGCGGAGACTGAGCCAGGCCGCTGGGGGCTCCCGGGGGCCGTTCCCCTCAGCCTCCCTCCCCCGGGGACCGGACTCCGGCTCCACCTGTGACGGCCGCGCTGTAACTCCCGTCTCCTCGGGACCCGCTCCTGTTTCACGGGAAAGGAAGTGGCGTTCTCTTCATCGGGAGCAAGTACATGTACATACTGCACGTCATCTGCTCTCCGAATGCTAGCGGAGGGAGACCGCCAGTTACCGTGGCAACGGGCAGAGCCGGTGCCTGTGAGCATCAGCGCCTTGGTCCCCGGAGGGAAAGTTAGTGTGTGTGTGTGTGTGTGTGTACGTGTGTATGGAGGGGGGGGGTATGTGTGTGTGCTCACGCGCACGCATGTGCGCGGGTTACTTACAGATCACTCAGCCTGGGTGCAGCTGGGCCTGGGCCCCCTTTCTGGGAGGCGGGGAGACCTATGGGATACTTTCAACAATAAAGAATTTAAATAATAAAACAAGCTGTGTTTTGTTCTGGGACAGCTGAGCGGTGGACGGGCCCGTCGTTTCCATGACTGTCCACTAGATGGCGGTCACGCTGCACAGAACTTCAGGAAGAAGGCGCCTCCTCCCGAGCGGCGGGACCACACTCTTCCCGGAGGGGCGGGGCGGGAGGGAGGGGCGGGGCGGGAGGGAGGGGCGGGGCGGGAGGGAGGGGCGGGGCGGGAGGGAGGGGCGGTCTCGGCACCTGTGAGGGGCCTGTGAGGGGCCTGTGAGGGGCCTGTGAGGGGCCTGTGTGGGCACCGGTAGGTGCGCAGACGCACAGGTGTAGGTCTAGGCCGTGTGCTGGTGAAAAACCCCCAAACCCCCTGTGCTCGGCTGGAGGGGCTCAGTGGTTGAGCATCAACCTATAACCTATGAGGTCAGGGTTCGATTCCCGGTCAGGGCACAGGCCCGGGCTGTGGGCTCCATCCCCCGTGGGGGGCGTGCAGGAGGCAGCCGGTCCATGATTCTCATCATCTCTCCCCCGCCCACCTCTCTCTCTCTCTCTCCCCCCTTCTCTGAAGTCAGTAAAAATACGTTTATTAAAAAAGAACCAGCAGGGCCCTCGCCCTGACCCTGTCCCGAGCCGGCCTCCGTGTCCAGCGGCCCACGTGGCTGCAGGGGGTGCAGGTGCAGGCACGGCCCCCCCCCCCCTCCTGAGAGCCGCGGGGCCAGGGCCCTGAGAGCCGCTCTGGCAAAGTCAAGGGCCCTCCGGCAGCTGCATTGCACTTGACTTTTTGCTAAAATCAAGACAATCCCAATGGTCCCTGATCCCCCAAAGGACCCGAGGGCCCTCGTGCCAAATTAGACGTTGGCGGGGGGGCGGGGAGGTGTGAGCAGGCTCCGTGGGGTCCACACACTTCCCGTCCCAGGAGGCTGTGCTCGATGGGAGGCCGCCCGGCTGAGAGCATCCCGGCTGACGGCATCTCATCACCATGGCGACAGCAGCCAGCGTGGAACCCTTCCAGGGGGACCCTCGGCAATCTCGGAGTTAAGATTTTTATTGGTACTTAGGAAAGAGGGAGGGGGGGGGAGAGAGAAACATCGATGTGAGAGCGAATCATCAATAGGCGGCCCCGCACCAGGGATGGAGCCCACCACCAGGCATGTGCCCCGCCCGGGAAATGGCCCCGTTCCTACACACCAGCGAGCCCGCGTTAAGGGCACAGATGGATGTCAGGGAGCCCGGTGGCGGCTGGGCCCAGAGGGAACGGGAGCTTCTGTGTCTCCTCCTGTGTCTCCTCCCGGTGGCCTCCGCTCGCGCCCAGCTCCCCGGCCGGTCCCTCTGCACCGCAGAGAACTGGCCTCAATCAGACCGGAAAGTCCGTTCCCTCCGACTGAGGTCACGGGTCCATCCCAGATGACAGGGTCAAGACAGAATAATCCCTCCCTCCTTCCCTCCTTTCCTCCCTCCCTTCCTTCCTTCCTTAATTCCTTCCTTCCTTTCTTCTTTCTTTAATCCCTCCCTTCCTTTCTTCCTTCCTTAATTCCTTCCTTCCTTCCTTCTTTTTGTTAATGCCATTGATTTTTAGAGAGTGGAAAGGAAGGAGGGAGGGGGGAGAGAGAGAGACATTGATGTGTGAGAGAGAGACACATCAATTGGTTGACTCCAGCACATGCCCTGACCCGGGCTGGGCATCGAACCTGCAACCCAGGGGCGTGCCCTTGACCTGGAATGGAACCTGTGAGCCTGGGTGCGGCGCCAACCACTGAGCCAGCAGTCAGGCCAAAGCAAAGTTTTGTGTGTTTTTTTTAAAGTTCATAGGGGTGGCATTTGTTAATAAAACCATATAGGTTTCTGCTGGAAACCGATCACCGTCACTAACAGAGATGTGGACAGGGAATCCGGAGGCTGGTCAACCTTAATTGCTCTGAGTGGTCAGAGCTAATCACTCACGTTTAGCTGAGAGGCTGGTAGTTACAGCAGCCTCCACCTGTCCGTCCTATGTGAATCCTTGCTGATTGGCTCTTATTGGAATTTCCTGCCTGAGGGATATGTGTGTATCCCATAACCTTAATAAAAGGGATGGCAAGGCCAGAGTGGGGTGTATTCCTCTCTTGGGCTTCTGCCTGGCCCCCAATATTCCCAAATTAATGCTCTTCTAGTCTCTTCCATTTGTGTGCGGCCTTCTCCAGAACCCGAACCCTGAACCGGAACCCTGAACCACGTGGGAGGTGAAAGGGGCTCCCGCAGGTTTCAGGGTGCAGTTCTGTGACCCCCATCTCTGTCCTGTGCTGTGAGCTCACACCCCGAGTCCCGTCTCCTTCTGGCACCTTCTCCTCTCCCCCCTCCCCCTCCACTGCTCAGTCACCGCTCTGTGGCCTGTCTCTGAGGGTTTTCTTTTCTCCACCCTTTTCCCTTCACCCTTTTCCTCCAGGCCCCCCCCCCCCCCCCAGCTTCAGTCTGTTCTCGGCGTCCACGACCCTAGAAGGAAGGAATGCTCACCCTCTGCCAAGCAAAGCCTTTCTATCTTAAACTGCCCTTTCCTCAGAGGCGAAGGCGCTGCCCCGTCAGTAAAAGACGCGGCAGCAGGTGTGGCTCAGTGGATAGAGCATCAGCCTGTGGACGAAGGGCCCCGGGTTTGGTTCTGGTCAAAAGCATGTACTTTGGCCGAAATCGGTTTGGCTCAGTGGTAGAGTGTTGGTCTGCGGACTGAAAGGTCCCAGGTTCGATTCCGGTCAGGGGCATGTACCTTGGTTGGGGGCACATCCCCAGTAGGGAGTGTGCAGGAGGCAGCTGGTCGATGTTTCTCTCTCATCAACGTTTCTAACTCTCTATCCCTCTCCCTTCCTCTCTGTAAAAAATCAATAAAATATATTTTAAAAAAAAAGAAAAAGAAAAAGAAAAAAAAAGCATGTACTTTGGTTGCAGGCTCCTCCCTGGTCCGGACCCTGGTCAGGGCGCATGCAGGAGGCAGCCCCCCGACATGCTTCTCTCACATCCGTGTGCCTGTCTCCCTCTCCCTTCTCCTCTTCCTAAAAGGCAATGGGAAGTATCCTTGCGGGAGGCTGAGCAACAACCAAATGACCATCGGCCGGGGAGAAGCCGAGAAGCCAGCGGGGAGGGCAGCCACTCGGCGGCGTTGGGAACGGAGCACGGATGGCGGCGGTGAGCCCGCTGGCATCGACCGGGTCTCCCTCGGGGAGCAGTGTCCCCGGCTGGGCTCCTGCGAGGACGGCAGCCTCGGCTTCCTGCCCCTCCGAGGACCGTCCTCCGGGGGCTCACTCGGTCCTGGCTCAGCGCGGGGGGCGCGGAGGAAGGCAGAGCCCTTCCCGCCCTGGAAGCAGACAAGGCGATGATCCGGGGCGGAGCGGCAGAGGCGGGAGCTCTACGCCTGCCTCTTCCCCCAGGAACTTTCTAGAACGCTCGATGCATCTCGCCCGTCCCATGGCAGGCTGGATTAATGGTGCCGCTTTGAAGGATGTACAAATATTTACCCAAAACGCAAACCCAGCAGAACACAGAGGAGGGATGATAAATCACCGTTTCCGGAAGCAAACCGGCCCGAGTCCGCCTCCGTGGCCAGCCCTGATTGATCATCGCCGTGTGTGGCCCCGAGGGACAGCCAGCTGCTGCAGACTCGGCTGGCACCTGGTTCAGAGGAGCCATCGGCAGAGCCTGTGACTCGCCTCCCGAGGGGCCGCCCGGCCGCCCTGGGAGGACTCCCTCCCCAGGTGACAGCGGGCATCGATTCGGGGCGGAGGACTGTGAGTCTGCGGAGCCGGCCAACTGCTGAGTCTGGGCTGGTGTCTGGGGTGGGTGTCCGGGGCCCAGTGGCTGCCTCTCCTCCGCAGACCAGAGAGAAGGTGGCCCCACACCCTTATCCGCCCTGAAGGGAAGCAGCATCCCCTCAGCCGCGGGAAAGCCCAGCCCACGATGCTTCCCACGCTGATCCAAATGAAATCTGAGGCGGAGAGAGGCTGGTGTGGGGCAGCCAGCCCCATGAGCGGGCTGGGGGGAGTGTGCCTGCATCGGGGCTGCGGGCAGGGCTGGGGACGGGACACGTGGCAGAGCCTGGCCGACCTCAGGGAGTGCCTGGCACCCCAGATCTCCAGCATCTGCCCCCCCCCTCCCCGTTCCGGGATCGAGGAAGGGAGATGTGTGACCATCTCCGAACCCTCCAGCTTGCTGCGCCCGCAGCGCCTGCTGGGGCCAGAGGCCACCGCTGTCGCACTCTCCAGACAGGTTTACACGTGACTCGGTAAGACTGGCCCCACAGAGCGGCTGCACGGGGACATGGTGGGGCAGAAGGCCAGCCAAGGGCAGGCCGGGCAGGAGGAAGTGGCCGGGGCTGAGGAGAGCTGGTCACCCCCGGCCATGCAGCTGCCCTGGAAGCCCGCACGGCCGCCTATTGCTGCCTGGTGCCCTGCAGGCTGGGCCCGGGCAGAGCAGGGCCGGAGGGCAGGGCAGGAGGACGCAGGTGTCCACACCTGGGAGGGCAGATGAGCAGCAGGCGGTAAAGGAGGGGCAGAAAGGACTGTCCCCCAGAACCACGCCCGGGGCGCTCACCCCCACATCCGTGAGGTCTGAGCGCCCCCGAGCCCGGCTCCCAGCCCCGTGCCCGGCTCCCGGGGCTGAGCGCCCCCGTGCCCCTCTCCCCGGGGCTGAGCGCCCCCGTGCCCCTCTCCCCGGGGCTGAGCGCCCCCGTGCCCCTCTCCCCGGGGCTGGGCGCCCCCGTGCCCCTCTCCCCGGGGCTGGGCGCCCCCGTGCCCCTCTCCCCGGGGCTGGGCGCCCCCGTGCCCCTCTCCCCGGGGCTGGGCGCCCCCGTGCCCCTCTCCCCGGGGCTGGGCGGCCCCGTGCCCCTCTCCCCGGGGCTGGGCGCCCCCGTGCCCCTCTCCCCGGGGCTGGGCGCCCCCGTGCCCCTCTCCCCGGGGCTGAGCGCCCCCGTGCCCCTCTCCCCGGGGCTGAGCGCCCCCGTGCCCCTCTCCCCGGGGCTGGGCGGCCCCCGTGCCCCTCTCCCCGGGGCTGGGCGCCCCCGTGCCCCTCTCCCCGGGGCTGAGCGCCCCCGTGCCCCTCTCCCCGGGGCTGAGCGCCCCCGTGCCCCTCTCCCCGGGGCTGGGCGCCCCCGTGCCCCTCTCCCCGGGGCTGGGCGCCCCCTCTCCCCGGGGCTGAGCGCCCCCTCTCCCCGGGGCTGAGCGCCCCCTCTCCCCGGGGCTGAGCGCCCCCGTGCCCCTCTCCCCGGGGCTGAGCGCCCCCTCTCCCCGGGGCTGAGCGGCCCCTCTCCCCGGGGCTGAGCGGCCCCTCTCCCCGGGGCTGGGCGGCCCCCGTGCCCGGCTCCCGGGGTTGAGCAGCCCCGTGCCCGGCTCCCGGGGCTGAGCGGCCCCCGTGCCCGGCTCCCGGGGCTGAGCGGCCCCGTGCCCCTCTCCCCGGGGCTGGGCGGCCCCCGTGCCCGGCTCCCGGGGTTGAGCGGCCCCGTGCCCGGCTCCCGGGGCTGAGCTGGTCCTCCCGCCTCGGCAATTCCAGGCACATGGGTGAGGGCCGGAGGGACGTGTAGAGTCTTATCTGGTTTAACCAGGATTATCCTGAATAAGCCGTTTCCTCGCCCTCATTTGCCGCTGTGCCTGGGCGCTGGGAGACCTGTGAGTTACAGTTGGTGCCCTGCCTGCCCGGGGGCTTAACTAGGGGGCTGCACACCGGTGCTCACCCCTGGAGAGCCAGGGCCAGGGCCAGGCGAGGGGTGGGCCGAATGACACAGACGAGGAAGGGTGGGCAGCAGAGGAAATGCCAGCTCAGCCCACGGGCCAGTTCTGACAAGGAGCTAGGGAAGTGGAGTCGGAGTCATCACCAAACCCCCCTCCCCCGTCCCCATTTCAGACCAAATGAGAAGCATAAGCCGCCAGGAGCGGGCAGATGGCGTCTCCGAGCATCCCGGCTCCCGTGCAGCCAAACACGGGCTGGCAGCCTGAGTCTGCAGTGCAGGCGTCCTCAAACTTTTTAAAGTGGGGGCCAGATCACGGTCCCTCAGAGAGCTGGAGGGCCGGACTATATGAACTACTAATTCCTACTGTAACACCTCGGCTGCGCTCACTGCCCAAAAAACCTGGCGGGCCGGATCAGACTCCTCTGCGGGCCGCATGTGGCCTGTGGGCCGTAGTTTGAAGACGCCTGCTGTAGTGCCTCCGCCAGCGGCACAGGCTCCGGTCGGCAGCTTGTAGCCGGCAGGTCCGATGGGCTGCGGAGGGGCCAGTGCAGGGCTGCAGGGGGCCGTCCTCCTCCGTGGGGAGCAGTGCCCTCTCTCACACACACACACACACACACACACACACCCCCTCTGGCCCAGGCCCCCCTCCCTCTCGGACACAGATCCTCAGGCCGGTGGCCTGCGTCGGACAAGCCTCTGGAGGAGATCCGATGTGTTTGCCACCCGGCGGACCCGGGTCAGAGTGGGGGTGAGGGTGGGGGACAGTCTGTGGCCAGGGGGTGCCCCTGCCCCGCTGTCCTGGGCACCAGCAGAGGGCGATGGAGAACATGATGTGCCTGGAGCACAGCTCTCTCAGATGGCCCCCCCCTCTGCCCCTTACCCACCCCCTGCCCCCCGCTCTGTCCCCCGCCGCTCCTCAGGAGCCGCTCCCACTACCACAGGGGCCGGGCGAGGCCACCCCTGGAGCCCGCGCTGGTTTTTGTTTCCACAGCCCACCCCTCGCTGTCCCCTCCAGCTCATGGCGTCTGTGGGATTCTGTGGGGAGGAGCCCAGGGACCTGCATCTCCACGAGGAACCCCCCAGGCGCGTGTGCGTGTGTGCATGTGTGTGCATGTGTGTGCGTGCGTGTGCTTGCGTGTGTGCGTGCGCGGGGCGGGAGGTGACCGGCTGAGGGTCCCGGACATCCCGGGCTGTCTGAACCCGTGGCCCGGCACAGGGCAGGCAGTGAGTCAGACTTCACAGCGGCGTGTCCGGCAGCAGTGATTTAATGGAGGAACCGGCAGACCCCCCGCCCCTCAGCCCCAGCGATGGCTCCGAGCGGCCTCTGCAGAGGGGCACGCGGGAAGGCGGTCCGCTCATTTCACACGGCCATGGCAGGCCCGCGGGCGGCTCACTCGCACACAGCAGCCCGGCAGACGGCTCCGGCCTCTGGGGGACGAGGGGAGGGCTGCCCCGGCCGGCCTAGCCCACCACCACCACGTCGTCGCTGGTGAACTCGTAGTAGGGCACCTCGAGGTTGAGGGGGGCTGGCCCCTTCCGGATGCGGCCGGAGGCGTCGTAGTGGGAGCCGTGGCACGGGCAGTAATAGCCGCCGAAGTCGCCCGCGTTGGCGATGGGCACGCAGCCCAGGTGCGTGCAGACCCCGATGAGGATGACCCACTCGGGCTTCTTGACGCGCTCCAGGTCGTGCTGGGGGTCCCGCAGGTGGGCCACGTCCACGGCGGCCTCCTGCTCCACCTCCCTCGCCGTGCGGTGGCGCACGAACAGCGGCTTGCCCCGCCACTTGAAGGCCATGTTCTTGCCCTCGGGGATGTCGGACAGCTTGATCTCGATCTTGGACATGGCCAGCACGTCGGCGGAGGCGCTCATGCTGGACACGAACTGGGAGACGACGTTCTTGGCGGTGTAGGCGGCGGCCACCGTGGTGGTGGCGGTGAGCAGGTAGGAGAAGCCCTTCCGCGCCTCGCTGCTCTCCTTGGAGGGCCTGGTGCTGTCCTGCACCTCGGCGCGCCGGTAGTCGGAGAAGTCGGGCACTTTGACGTCGGTGTGGGAATACCGGACGGAGGCAGGGGCTGCAGGCAAACGAGGTGAAGCACAATCAGACACCAGGCAACAGGCCTTTGGAGGTTCATGAGCAAGAACCACAGTGTAAAATGTGAGAAATGGCACCCACTGGCCTCAGAAATGCCCAGCAAGCGGTCTGGCGTATGAAACACTGAAAGCGAGATGAGGCGACCACGACCGAGCACACTGGCCTGGGACCACAGACAACGGGCACAGAGGCCTCCGCACTGGCACGGGGGTCCCGGTCCACTGCGACCCCACGCACCACGTCTGACGCCAGCGAGCCCCGAAGCAGCAGCCCCAACCCGCCGTGCCGGCACTCACAGCCCGAGTCTCCCCCACGGGCCCTGGGTTCTCGGGACCCTACGTGCACCGAGTCCGCGATACACTGATGTGTGAGCTCAGCTTAAAACCCTCTCAGCGCATTTCTGCCTGTTCCTGAAGGAGCTGCTACAAACTCACAGAATACTAATTAAAAGACCTCAGACTGTCTCTGGGACTGGCTGCATAGTTAGCGGCAAAAAATGTGAGGTCTCTCATTAGTGAGGCTTTAGCTTCTCGTCACTGTGGCTTTAGCTTCCAGTGAAGCCCGATGCCAGGAAAGGCGCCCTTACCAGAACAGCAGCCACCAAAATCACTCCACATCTCCCAGGACCCAGCGTTTCCACGTGGCATGGGCAGGGCGGGGGGGGGGGGGGGGGGGCACGGAGAGCGGCCACTGTCTCTCCTCCACGGCTGTGGGTCTCCAGTGGCCGGAATTTCATGTCCGATGACGGAGAAGGAAAACACAACCACTGTGTGTACCAGTCTGGATGTACACTGTTCAGTTTTTAATTCTTTAAAGATCACACCTTCTGTCCTATGGCATTGTTAAATGTCTGGGAACAAATGAACTTACTGGTATCGCATCTAAGAGTGTTTCAGGAAGCAAATTGCTTTGCAAAGTGTATTTTCATTTTAGGGCGTTTGCCAAGTCTCCCTGTTTACAAGGGGAACACTAAAACCCCTCCTTTAGAAAACATGTTGTTTCCAAAACAAAGTGCGTTTTCATAGAAGCTGCACCTCTCCTGGCTCTCCAGGCCGTCAGTGACGGGGGCCGGCAGGGCTCGCACCCGGGGAGACCCCTCGGTGCGCGGTCCTGGCTAACCAGCCGTGTGCGGAGGAGCCAGGACACACCCCCAGCCTGCCGTCCTGCTGTGGCCTCCCTCCCCCGCAGCCATCCTGTCAGAGATGGAGGGGGGAGGGAGGGCGGGCATCAGCACCACCGGGGACCGAACCAGAGGCACCTCGTGCTGCAGAGAAGGAACAGAAGCACCACACTCCTGCCCTGAGAACAGGATCGCAGCCTCACCACGCACAGCACACGGACACACAGACACCACCCAGAGGAGCTGTAGGCGAGGCCTGCGCTTGCTGTCCCCCGCTCTGCAGTGGGGGTTCCACGCCAGGGCAACAATCCCTCTAAGAGCTCCCTGAGCTGTGGGCACGTCCCACAGCAGACGCCTGGCCAGCCTAGTTCCACGACAGCAACAGGAGCCCTTGTGTGTCTCTGGGACTGGCTGCATACAGTTAGCGGCAAAAAGGACAATGAAGGCGTCACACCCACCGCGGCGGCTCCCGCCCGCCTGCTCGTGGTGCTTAAGGCGAGCTCTGGGGCACCTGGGAAATCGTCCTTCTCAGCTCTGACCCCTCTCCCCCCCTCCCCCTGCTGCCTTCCTTTCACAAACCACGTCCACGTCTAACGTGAGCTTGGCTGCCGCTGAAGGCAGGTCCGGGCAGCCTGCCTCAGTTCTACGTTCACCAGCTCCTGGAGCCGGGTAAGCCCTTCAGCCGGCGTGCCACCTCCCTGATGCTGCTCACCTTCGCTACTGCAATGTCCCCCCTCCCTGCTCCCCACCCTCCACAGCCTGGAGTGCGCCTGGCTCCCACCTCGCAGTTCCAATGGCGCCCCTCACAGACCGCCAGGAATCATTCAGAAATACTTGGCACCACCTGCATGCAGAACCCCAGGTGGGGGAGTGAGGAAAACAGCGGAGACACCTTCTGTGCCCTCAGCCCAAGGTCAGTCCCAGCACCCACAGCCCAGGGGGCAGCGTTCTGGCCTTCCAGCCCAAAGGAATGGCAAACAGGAAGCCTGACTACCTGATCCTGATAGGAGACGGACAGGACTGGCGCATGGTGGGAAAGAGTGGGGTACCACTGAAGGTACAGAGAAGAGGGGCAAATGAAGGCAGAATCAGGGGGCCACTCGGTCACGATGTAGGGCAAGAGCCACTGACTCAAGAGTCGCTGGGCCAGGCAGGTGGCTCAGGTGGGCCTGCTGAGGCCTGGGGCAGCCTGCTGAGGCCTGGGGGGGCCTGCTGAGGCCTGGGGGAGCCTGCTGAGGCCTGGGGGGGCCTGCTGAGGCCTGGGGGGGTGCCTGCTAAGGGCTGCTGAGGCCTGGGGGGACCTGACTGAGTACCTGCTCCAGCCAAGGAGCTCATGAGACTCCTCCCAAGGAGGAACCAGGGCCCGGGTGGCCGGCTCCCACATCTCAGGAGACGCAGAAATCCTCCCAGTTTTTAGAACGAGGCAGGTTGACACCAAGGCCCTGGGCCCACAGGCTGCCAGCTCAGGACCCCAGGACCAGGGTGCAGAGAGGGCGGAGGAGGCGCACAGACCCAGCGGGACCAGGGCAGGGCCCCCCTTCCGCCGCGTAAGACGGGGCGGCCCAGCCCCCTCTGCCTGGGGCTCTGGGGCCTGACGATCCTGTGAACGTTTCGGTCCAGCGCCGGCCACCACGGCAGACAGCCTCCGTGTGCGTGACCTTGAGGCTGCGAGGCTGTCCGTGTGCGGGTTGGGGTCCGGGGGACGCACTGGGGGAACTTTCGGGTCACCGGCAGCTCCCGCTGCTGGGCGCGTACCAAGTGCCCCGCCGTCCTCACCACCGCCGGCAGAGTGTCCTCATCCGAGCCTCCCGGCACGGCCTGGAGTTCGGGACAATCACCCCCGGTTTCCCCGGAGAGAAAGCCGCTTAGCCGCCAGCCTCTGGGGGAGCAGCTGGACCCCGAGTTCCGGATGGGAATCCAAAGCCGAGCCCAGGGCTGGGGCCCGGCCTGGCCGCCACGGAGGACACGCGGGGGCCGAGGGGGCCGGGGCCGGAGCGATCGCCCAGCCCGCGGGCCCCGCACAGGAGGGCAGCGGGGCCCCCGGAGGCGGACAGCGGGGCCCCCGGAGGCGGACAGCGGGGCCCGCACAGGCGGACAGCGGGGCCCCCGGAGGCGGACAGCGGGGCCCCCGGAGGCGGACAGCGGGGCCCGCACAGGCGGACAGCGGGCCCCCCGGAGGCGGACAGCGGGGCCCCCGGAGGCGGACAGCGGGGCCCCCGGAGGCGGACAGCGGGGCCCCCGGAGGCGGACAGCGGGGCCCCCGGAGGCGGAAGCTGGGGCCGCGGACCCGCCAGGGCCCGGCCGCCCTGCCCTCCACCAGGCCGGCTTCTTCCCCCCCAGGCCCGCCCTCCCGCGGCTGCCTGGGCCTGGGGCACCCGGGACCCGGCTCACCATTGAGGCCCACGACGGCGATCAGGGGCCCGCTCGCGGCCTGGCCGTTCAGCGACTCCCGGCAGAGGAAGGGCCGCTTCACGTCCAGCGCCGGCGGCTCCGGGGCCGGGGGCAGCGCGGCCTGCACCAGGGGCCGCAGCGCGCCCGCCACCGCGCGGGAAGAGGCCGACAGGACGGGCGCGAACGGGCCCGAGCGGGCAGCGACCGACAACATGGCGACGGCTGCTCCGGACGCCGGCCGGTCACAGAGACGACCTTCCGCCCGCCGCGCAGGCGCGGGGAGGCGCGGCCGGCGCGGCCGCCAGACGTCAGCGCGCCGGTGGGCGGGGCGTGCGTCGGAGGCGGGGCCAAAAGCCCCAGGGCGGGGGCGGAGCCAGAAGCCCAGACCGGGGGCGGGGCCAAGAGCCCAAGCCGGGGGCGGGGCTAAGAGCCCCAGGGCGGGGGTGGGGCCAAGAGCCCAAGCCGGGGGCGGGGCCAAGAGCCCCAGGGCGGGGGCGGGGCTAAGAGCTTTGCAAGGCGCCCGGGTCCCACGACCTGACGTCTCTCCCTGCGCGATGGGCGGCGGGGATGGGGGTCCCGGCGGGACGTGCGCTCTTAGCGGCGCCAGGACTCGCAGCGCGGCCTCGGGTGCGTGTCCACACAGCTCTGCGCCCGGCCCTGGGAGACCCCTCGCCCTGCCTGGGGCCCCGCCTCCTGGCCACCGCCCCTCGGGCTCAGACATTGGCCGTCGCCTCCCCTGGGCTCGGTGACCGTTACCCTGGGAGGGCCCGGTGCCCTCTCCGCGCCAGCCCTGGGCACAGTTTCAGTCTCCCCTCGGCGCACGGCCCCCCCGGGCAGCCCGGCGTGAAGACTGACGGCCACTGGGGAACACAGACTGTCCCACTGAAGCCACTGCAAATGCCTTGCTGCTCCGTACCCCCTAGGGCCTAGGCCCTAGTAGGCCCGTGGTCGGCAAACTCATTCGTCCACAGAGCCAAATATCAGCAGTACAACGATGGAAATTTCTTTTGAGAGCCAAAGATTTTGAACTTAAATTTTTTCTAACTCGCCCAGGCCATGGCATTTTGTGGAAGAGCCACACTCAAGGGGCCCAAGAGCCGCATGTGGCTCGCGAGCTGCAGTTTGCCCACCAAAGCCCTGGCCTAGGCCATCCTGGGCCCCGCCCTCCGGAGCGCTGGCAGCCGGGAGGAGCAGGAACCTGGAAGTGCGGATGCTGATGCTGCAGCCTCTCTCCCTCTCTCTTCCTCTCTATCTCTCTTACTCCCCCCCCCCCCAGTCCATTACTGTGATTAATTGGCGGCATGTGGAGACGCGTATGGGCCCCCATAACCCGCTTGCCCACCTCTTGCCAGGCAGCTGCTGCTGAGGCACCAAAAGGCCCCTCTCCCGTTCAGAGGCTGCAGGCGTCCCTGGAAAATGTGTCCAGTTAATTTATAGACAATCGTCACTGGCGGCGAGGCACGGGCAGTTCCTGCAGCTCTGGGCCCGGTCTCCTCCTCTGGCCACCGACCCCCAGCGGCGTGGGTTAAAGGAGAACCTCATTCGTACTTTTTCCAGATGCCAGGTGCCTGCTATTTCATTTATATTCCCGGGGAGCCGGGAGGGCGGCCATTTGTTTGTCCCAAAGTCCTTCCATCCGTGAATCTGACAGCTCCTTCCCCAGCTGCAAACCCTTCAGACTTAAAGATTAAAGTGGAAAATATACAGTGTGGCTCAGGGGGTGAGCATCGACCTATGGACCAGGAGGTCAGGGTTCGATGCCCGGTCAGGGCACAGGCCTGGGTTGCAGGCTCCATCCTCAGTGGGGGGTGTGCAGGAGGCAGCCGATCCATGATTCTCTCTCATCATGGGATGTTTCTCTCTCTCTCCCTCTCCCTTCCTCTCTGAAATCAATACAAATGTTTTGTTTTGTTTTTTAAAAACCACCCATGATTTCAAGAAACCACGAGTCCGTCTGTTCACCTGCTTTGTGAGTGCGCTCGCCTACTGCTTCTTACCGTTTTTGTTCCACAAAAGAAGGAACTCCGTGTGGCGTGAGGACCACAGAACAGGCCACATGACCAGCCTTCAGCAGCAGAAGAAAACGGAGCCCAAGACTCATAAGCCATCGACGCCCAGGTGCCAGTGTGCCTGCACTCAACATAATCACCTAAAAGCTCCGAATTACAAATGGGGCAATAAAGTACAACTGGAAGGCATTAGGAATTAGTCATTTTAATGAAGAGGAATAATTAATCGATCGTCACGATGTATTGATCTACAACGTCTTTAATTCTCTGCAATTTAATTTGTCAGACTCGAGTCCAAATAACTGATGGTTTGTCCTATTAACAGTCGAGCTGGGAGGGATGGGGATGATGAAAGAGGTGGGCCTGCTACATCTGGAGCAGAGGGGCTGGGGGTGGGGTGGGGGGCTCCAGGTTTCTTTCAGCCCAGAAAGTGTTGAAAAATGGAATTTTTGGCCAATATTGAAAAATGTGGAGGTCTCATACACACACACACACACACGGATTTATGTTGAGAAAGAAGAAAAAGTTAAAAGGTTCCCACTGTCTGGTTGCAAACTATACGACAAGGCTCCGGTAATCAAAACTGCACGGAACTGGTGCAGACACACACACACACACACACACACACACACAGAAATGAAGCTGGTCCCCTTACACCGGACACAGAAATAAGCACAAAATTAATTATAAAGACCTGCATGCAACCCCCCAAAACCATAAAACTTCTCCAGAGAAGACATACAGATGGACCACAGACACATGGACAGATGCTCAACATCACTAACCATCAGAGATTTGCCACGTCATGGACCGGCTGCCTCCAGCACGCCCCCCACTGGGGATGGAGCCCGCAACCCAGGCCTGTGCCCTGACCGGGAATCCAACGGTGACCTCCTGGTTACTACGTCCATGCTCAGCCCCCGAGTCCCGCCTCCCGCCGCTCTGAGTCTGGGGGCTGGAGGAAGGGGGCTGGGACACGCAGCTCGGAGGCGCCAGGCGTCCGGAGCCCAGAGGAGAGATAAAAGGGAGAGCCGGCGGCGGCTCGGAGAGAAGGAAAGGGGCTTGGGAGTAAAAGGAGCTTTCTCCTAATGGTTCATTTCCTTCCTCTTGGTCCGGAGTGATAAAAGCAAACAAACAGCCGTAGTCCAAGGCCATTATATCGAGACATCATCTTCCCGGCCAAAGACTGTCAGTTCTTAATGTCGGAAGCACGCAACGTGGATTGAGGTATCACAGGCAGGCGGGGAGGCGGTCAGAGTGACAGAGCATCAGGACACCTGCAGGCTCGTCCCTGTTTCCTCTCCGCGGGAGACCCCAGCGGGGCAATAAATGATCCCCTCGGAGCAGCCGGAATTCCGAGGCGGCGCTGGCTTTGGCTCCGGAGCGCGGAGACGCAGAGGGCCTTGCGGCTGCTGTTCTGAAAGGCGGCTGACAGTGGAGGCTCCTCTGCCTGTGCAGTCCAGTCCAGGCGTTTGTGGTGTCAGCATCCTGTGCTCAGCTCCTGCCGGTCCTGTGACCACCCCGCAGAAGGTCACCCCGCGGGAGGTCACCCCGTGGGAGGTCTTGGCCTTTCGGTAAAGCTGCACCCATGGTCTCCAGCCACCCGTGCCTGCAGGAGACAGTGTGGCCCTCAGGGCATCGCAGCCAGCCCTGCGCCCTCCTGGGCTGCTCCCACCGGCTCCTCCACTGCAGCCTCCCAGGTCTCCCCTCGTGCCCCCCCCCCCAGCAGCCACTCCTCCTCACGGAGTCCTTCTGTTGCTGTCGTCCACCCTCACTGAGGATATTTTCCCATTGATTGTTAGAGAGAGTGGAAGAGAGGGAGATACAGGAACATCGAGAGAGAAACACTACTTCCTGTGAGCCGGCCACAGCTGTGCGTGCGTCACCCTGACCACTTCCCAGCCGTCCCCTGAGGAAGCGCGGGTCCCGGGACGAGGCTCCTGCCGAGGCCTCGCGCTGCCGGATGCCGGGAGACGGGCAGCAGCGACGTCTGTGACGCCTCTGCACCCGTGGGCAGCCCCCACGTGGACCCCGCCACTGTGCACTCTTTTCTCTTCTCACGCTAGAGACCGTGTCCCCGAAGGATTTATGAGCCAGAGAGTTCCTGAGCTGGTGAAAACCCACTCACCACGGGAGATCCGTTCACTGGCAGACTCCCAGCTGCCAGCGTGCCGGTAACCTGTAACGGCTGGGTAATGAGTCTCCTCCATGTAATTGGGGTCATTATGGCCCATTTGTCAGTTCCCCGGGGAGTCCTGATCAGCTTCCCCACCTGGGCAGGCCCAGGGGGGTGCGTCCAGCCCCTCCCTGCCCCGGGCACGGTGGGAATAGGGAGAAAGTGGGGCTGAAAGACAGCATTCTGGGAGCTGGGACTGAACATTCTGAACGGAGAGGTGTTAGGAGACGTGCAATGAACTGCTATAGAAACAGGGTTTGACTGAGGGAGCTGGCACGTCATGCAAATGAGCACTCTGTTCCATGATTCATTGCTGTCAGGAGAACCAACGTGTGCAGCCGAGGAGGGAGGGCTAATGGGACGCATAATGACTGTCCGTTTAGACCTGCAGAGACTTCATCGAGAGGCCACAACCAGTGTGGGAGGGGGCAGGCAGCAGTGGGAGGAGCAGGGAAACATGGGGGATCTCGGAAATAGCAGTAATAACACGGAGGCCCATTAGGCGGGGGCCTCGCCAGTGGTGATGGGTGTGTGTGTGTGCAGGAGGCAGCCAATCCATGATTCTCCCTCATCATTGCTGTTTCTCTCTCTCTCTCTCTCTCTCTCTCTCTCTCTCTCTCTTCCTCTCTGAAATCAATAAAAATGTATTAAAAAGTAAAATGTCTTAAATTCAAACAACTTTGGGAAGCAAACGTCGCAAAACACTCTGTGATGAGCAGAAGCAAACAGCTTTCTTTACAAGCAGACACCAGGGCCTTCCCCGTGCTCAGGATCAGCGGCACGCCCTGTGGGGCCTGGTGCCACGTGAGAGTGCGGTGAGGACCATAAGCAAACCGCCAAGGGCAGAGCACCGGGCTCAGGGCCTCTCCGGGGAGGAGCCTGTGAGCCACCCTGCGTGCCGTGCCAACATCCCGGTGACCTCCCAAAAGGAGAACGGAGGCCCCCATCTGTCCTAATGAATCCAGCCCTGGAATTACACAGGGAAACCCTGCTTTAAGCCAAATTCTCACACTCCTCTTCAAGACACGGGGAGAGAGGACCTCAGGACCTTACATGGAACCCAGGACAACCACACGCTCTGTCTGCGGGGTCTTCCTCATCTGTCAGGTCAGCTCCCATGTTTGTGTTTAGAGATTTTGGGGGGTGGAGAAGGGGGGACACGGGAACAGGTCCACCAGTAGTTTCTGCTCATCCCTTATTTTGCTTCATTCTTTTGAACAAAGCCCAGCATCTCTGACCCCCCAACATGAATTTCTGGCAATAGCAGCAGGCAATCTACAGCGACGGATGAAGAGAACAAAGACAGCACGCTTTGGCCGGAGACGGTGCACAGTTCTGTACTTAGAAAGCCGGCATTGTGGAAGAGCCGCCAGTTCTAAAGCCTCCTGCTGTTGTCTACTCCCCGGGGGCCCCATGATACTGCTTGGGGAATGGCCTTCCTGGTCTCCTCTTACGGGTTATGTGTGGTTTTGGGGGGTTTGGGGGTAGGTGTTGGGGAGCCCACACTCCCTGTAGGGCCCTGCTCATGGAGGCCCAGGCCCAGTGAGTTGCACCAGGATGGCTCAGGTCAGCACCCCGGACAGCTCCCATCTCAGGGGTTGGAGGCTGAGAGGATGCTGATCCCTACGTGCCTCTCGTGCCAGCACCATGGACAGTCCCCCCACTTGTGTTTGGGGCGGGAGATGCTGGTCCCGGCGTGTCCCGGTGTCAGAACCCTGGTCAGCTCCTGCCTTGGGTTAGAGGCCCTGAGAGGATGCTAATCCCAGCACGCCCTGGGCCAACGGAGCCAGAGCCTGCAAGCTGGACCACAGGGTCCCCTGATTAAGGCACCGTCAAAAGGAAGGGAGCACCCGGGCTCAGGCAGAGGTCCGTCCTCTCAGCCAAAGCACCGCTCAGCGGGGACAGCCCAGCATCCTGATCAGGACACACACGGTCACCGCCTGCTGAGCACCCGCTACCCAGCAGGCACCGCGCACTCATTCCATTCACCGACGCCCTCGACGTCAGCATCACAGCTACTCCCGTCAGTCTCACTCCAAGCAAGGAAAGCAAAGCTCAGAGTGGCTCAGGGTCCTGCCTGCGGCCACACAGCAAGGAAAGAGGCAGGCTTGTCCAGAACATTTGTCTGGAAAATTTGTCTGTCAGGAATGGCTATCTGGGCTTTTGTCTGCTACTGGATCTGCCCTCCGGAGGTCCGCAGAGAGACGTCTGGGGGAGGAGGGGAGGCAGAGAGAGCGAGAGAAAGTCAGAGAACGAACGTGTAACCCGAGGATCCTCCCATTGTACAGTCAATGCACGGCAAAATGTACCAGTGGGGGGAGACCCCCCCGAAAAACAGCATTTAAAAGTGCATGTACGCACCCGAGTTTGCACAGGGGGCTAAGCTGCTCCCCTGCCTGGGCCTACGCTGGGGACGGACGAGGGTGTCAGGGGAGAGGACAGAGGTAGCTGGGACAGGGACCACGTTCATTCCTTTACGTGCTAGTCAGAGATCGGTGTACGCTGCCACCTATCACCCCACCTGCTGGGCGCCCCCCGCCGCCCCACCACCCAGCCTGGCCGTGGCTCCGGGAGCCCGCCGCCTCCTCCTCCTCCGGGAAGCCCGTCAGCCACCCCCGGCCCCGGGGTCCCCGAGACCGCCACCCCCGAAGCCCCCGCAGCTGCAGCCGCTGCTCCGCCCGCTGCCCTGCCTGGCCAGGGGGTCCTGTGCCAGCAGCCTGGCTCCGGCTCCCGTGAGGCGGGCGGAGGGGAGGGGCGCGGGGTGTTGTCCATGGGCATGGGGCTGAGCCAGGCTGTCATCCCGGGTGGAGGAAGGGCCTGGGTTTGGGGGTGGGGGATGCAGGGACCCCCACACACACACATCCCCTTAGGCTGGGTCACTTGCACACCGTCCTCGTGGTTTGGTAGCTTGTGGGCCCAGGACGCGCTGGGGAGGTGGCCCCGGGGGTCTCTCCGCTGCTCTGTCCTTGCTGTGGGCCGCCGGGGCACGCGGGGCCTGTGGGTGCAGGTTTGGGTGCGGGGTGGGTGCGGGGTGAGTCCTACACCGCCCGGCTCTGCCCAACTCGCTGTCTGAGCTAAGGGGATGGGTGTGTCCCCGGGCAGGAGCGGGCGGTCCCGGAACCCGCAGCTGTTGGCTGTGCGGCCCCGTGGGAACGCGGGCCCAGGGCTGCGTCTGAGGCCTCCCCGTTTTGGGGGCGCCTGAGCCAGAGTGAGTTCCGCAGGCACCAGGCCGTCCGTCCACTCAGCGGGCACCACCTCCCCTCGTCCGTCCGGGCTGGATGCCAGCCAGAGGGCAAAGGAGGCCTTTTAGGCAACACACAATGACTTGGACTTCAGCCCTCCAGCCTAGCACCCCCCACCCCCCCGGGAGCCAGCACCCGGGTCTGACCTCAGCCGGCTCCTGAGCAGCCGGTCCCGAGGGTCCCGAGGCCCAGGCCGGGTGTTCGTGGGCCGGTCTGTTCTGGGGCCGCCTGGTTCCTGTGACTCAGGCGTTCACTGTCCCCCCCACCCCAGGCGCCGGCCCCACCTCCTCTGCCGACCCTCTCCGGGCGCTGCTCTTGGTGGCTCTGCCCTGGCTCCTGGGCCGGCTGCTGGGGCTCTGACAGCCGCCCCCCCTGCGTGCCCGGACCCGGACCCGAACCCGGACCCGGACCCGGACCCAGACTCAGATCCGGACCCAGACTCAGACCTGAACCCGGACCCGGGCGAGGATGGACACCCAGAGGCTGAGAGAAGCATGACAAAGTCCACGCGGAAATCAGATAAATAATACGTGGGCGGAGTTACACAACGTGGGAACCCGGAACCGCACGTCCAGTTCCAGAGGAGAAGGACTCGGGTCGCGCGGCGCTCCGGCCCCGGATTCTCCACCTCCGTGACCTTTCTTTTCTCGATCTGCCTCTCCGTTCTGCACAGACCGCCGGCCCCTCTCTCAGGAGACGCCTGGAAAATGTCGAGTCACGGCCGCTCTGACAAAGGAAGTATTTTCAGTAGCTGCTTGTGTTTAGGAATTTTTTTTTACTCCACATTCTCGTCTGGGGGCTTTTTTTTATCGAAGTAAATTATTTCTTTTTGAGACATTGGATTTAAAAAGATGCATCTGGTCCTAATTAAAGTTCACTGCCGATAATATTTATTCTTAAATAAGCACGGGAAACAGGCCGGACACTTGTTTATACGCCGGATTGTATATTGCTGAATCCCAGTGGAATAAAAAGGAAACGGCTTTGAAGTAAGCTTTCTATGGGCCTGTGTGAAGGGGACGCCTCGGGGCCTTGGGCAGCCCGGATGCGGTGGCCTCCGGGTCCCTGGCCGAGGCCACACGGCAGACAGGAGCACCTGCCCAGCCTTCCTAGGGACAGGGGGCCTCAGGGAGCCGGGAGGGAGGAGGGGGGAGACAGGAGCCCCCTGCCTGGGTCTTGGAGGAGAGAAGTCCCTGGGAAGAGGTGTGATATTAATCTTCTTTTAAAATATGATTTTTAGCCCTAACTGGTTTGCTCAGTGGATAGAGCATCGACCTGTGGACTTAAGGGTCCTTCCTGGTTTAGATTCCGGTCAGGGGCATGTACCTTTTCACAGAAACGCGCTTCTTCGGCGGCCGAGGCTCCATCCCTCCGAGCCCGTCCCCTGGGTCCCCCCTCAGCCTGGTGTCTCAGGGTGGGCGGCCTTCAGAAGAAACCCCGAAAACGGACAAAACGCCAATTGTCGAATCCGAGCGCGTACGGGCGTTCACTGCAGAATTTCCCCATTTTCCTGTTTATGTGAAGATTTTTATAATAAACTGGGCTGGGGCGGGGGGGGGGGGGGGGGGGCGTGGTGCTGTTTGCTGCAATTCCATCGACTTCCCGTGGATCTTCCACAAAATCACTTTCCCAAAATCAGGAGAACACCTGAATCCATGTCTGAAAGTCTATCGCTCGGAGCTAACTTTTAAAAAGAAAAAGGTTAAGGATTCCACACGCGCTGGCTGCAACCCTACCGCGTATAAGCCTTCGCCCTTAGGAAACACGAGGCTGCGAAAGAGCCGCACTGCGCAGACTCCGCAGGGGCAGCCACGCCCCCTCCTCCTCCCCGCCCCCCGCAGCGTCGCCCGCTCTCAGGCGCATGCGCCGACGCGGTAGGCGCGCTCGGTGACGTCACGGGCTGCGTCGCGCGCCAGCGTCCAGCGCCCGCGACGCCGGTGCGAGCCCGAGCGAGTGGGTCTGCGGACTCCGTGCCGCGCGAGCTCGGGGACGAGGACCCTCTGCTTCGCCGACTCCGGCGACAGGGGCCGAGGTGGTCGCGGGCCCCGGAGGGAGGTGGAGGGGGGAGAAGCGCGAGCGGCGCCGATGGAGACGTCATCAGAGCGTACCGGAAGCGGCCACAGGATGAGGAGTGAGTGGGGCTGAGGGCCTCGGGCTCGGGCGTCCGGGATCGGGCCCCGGGGAGGGAAGAGGGAGGTCAGGGCGCGGGTGCTGGGGAGGGAAGAGGGAGGTCAGGGTGCGGGTGCTGGGGAGGGAAGAGGGAGGTCAGGGCGCGGGTGCTGGGGAGGGAGAAGGGAGGTCAGGGCGCGGGTGCCGGGGAGGGAAGAGGGAGGTCAGGGCGCGGGTGCCGGGGAGGGAAGAGGGAGGTCAGGGTGCAGGGGAGGTCAGGGTGCGGGTGCCGGGGAGGGAAGAGGGAGGTCAGGGTGCGGGTGCTGGGGAGGGAAGAGGGAGGTCAGGGTGCGGGTGCTGGGGAGGGAGAAGGGTCGCTGCGGAGTGCGAGTGGGGCTGTTGTGGGGAATCGCCCCACCTTCCCTCGGGGAAACTGAGGCCCGGCTGGCCCGGCCCCGTCTCAGCCTGGGCTTGGGGTCCGAGCTGGAGGCCGGTTCTCGGGGGCCGCTCAGTGGCGTGGGTGCTACGGGACCGACCAGGGCCTTCGCCCGACTTGGCCGCTCCCTCCCGGGGTGTCGGGGCCCAGGCCTGCCCGGCCTGCCGTCTATGAACGACCCCAATGTGGCGAGGAGCCCTGGGCGCTTGCTGGGCAGTGACACCGCCACCTCCCCATCCCCCCAACACACACACACACGCACACACACCCCGGCTTTGGCGGGGAGCCGTGCCCCGAGGGGAGCCAGCGCCGGGGCAGCTGCAGGCAGGGGAGTAGGTGACCAGACATCCCGCTTTTCCAACAATTTGTCCCGCGTCCCGCGGCGTTTTAAAAATGTCCCGAATTGTCCTCCAGCATTAATTGTCCTCCAGAATCGGGACGTCTGGTCACCTTAGTGTAGACACCGTTGACACCGGCCTTTGCGTCGGGGTTCCGAGCCCACCTCTGCAGGTGCCTGCCTGTGTGGCCCATCAGTCAGAATCTTGGTGTAGCCGAGCTCAGTGTGCTCAGTGCATAATAGGGATGATGACCACGTTACAGGATTCTTCAGGAGGGATGAGGAGATAACATATGCGGAGTACCAGTGGAATTGTCCATGTAAGAAGCATTCAGACCTGTAGAGAATTTTTGTGAGTTCTGTGAGCCAAACTGATGACAGCAGCTGGGAAGCAAAATCTTGACGGATCGAGAAAAATGCTCCTGAAAAATGGCAGTTTGCACCCTATTTGATGCATTACAGTCAAAAGAGGAGGCAGGCCGAAACCGGTGTGGCTCAGTGGATAGAGCGTCGGCCTGCGGACTGAAAGGTCCCAGGTTCAATTCCAGTCAAGGGCATGTACCTTGGTTAAGGGCGAATCCCCAGGGAGGGTGTGCAGGAGACGGCTGATTGATGTTTCTCTCCCATTGTTGTTTCTAACTCTCTATCCCTCTCTCTAAGAAATCAATAAAGAAAAAATAAATAAATAAATAAATAAATATATTGAATATATTAAAAAAAACTTCCTTATCCTGCTGAAGGACATCTTAGTCCTGTACTTCTTGTACAGAGGTGGGTACTGGATGGTTAACAGTCAACAGTTAACACAAATAACAGCAACAGTGGGGGGAATCTGGTCTCCCCACCGGCTCGGCCCCTGTGCTTGGAGGGCTCCAGAGGAAGGGTTGACTGGCATTCCAAGGGTCTGTTCCCGTAGATGCAGACTGTAGACAGGCCCGATTAAGGTACCGATGGGCTTTTTTCAGGGAAGGTTCCGGCTAGGGCCTGACTACCCGCCATAACGGCCGATAGTTAAACAGTGCTCATTTCAACCCCTCCTGTGCGGTCACGGGAGGTCTCTGCATGGCAAGGCTGCCACACAGGCCTCCCGGGAGCTGTCAGGTGGAGTGTGTTAAGCCCGTGCAGCTCCAGGTGTGGTCTGCTGCCCAGTTAGAAACATCGATGAGAGAGAATCATCTATCAGCTGCCTCTTGCACACCCCATACTGGGGATGTGCCCGCAACAAAGGTACATGCCCTTGACCGGAATCGAACCCGGGACCCTTAAGTCCGCAGGCGGGCGCTCTATCCACTGAGCCACACCGGTTTTGGGGAGAAGCACCTTCTGAAGCCTGCCCTGGGGTCTCTGTGATGGACGGGACCCTGGGCAGGGTGAGAGCGTCCATGACAGCCTCGCCTCCTGTCCCGAGAAGCACTGCTCTGTTCAGCGTTGGCAGGGCGCCGCCTCGGGCCTTCCGCCAGCAGGAATCATCTGTCGTTTTCCGTCCGCAGGCGGAGTCTACCACGCCCTCTCCCAGAAGGAGGCCAAGGAGCTGGATGTCCAGGTAGGCGGGCGGGGGACAGCCAGCGGTGTGTGTGGTCGGGGAGCAGCCCGCCTGCGAGGGCCCGGGCCCGGGTCGGGCTGTGCCCCGCGGAGCAGTGAGCCCTCCCCCCCTCCCCTGTCCCACCAGCGCCCCGGAGCCCAGCGCGCCGAGGCCTTCCTGCAGGCCTTCCTGCGGCGCTGCACGCCGCACATGAGCCCGCGCGCCCGCGAGGACCAGCTGCAGCGCAAGGCCGTGGTGCTGGACTACTGCGCCCGCCCGAGGCGGCGGGAGCCGAGGCGGCGGCCCCGGGGCCTGTCCGCGCGGCAGAGGAGGGCGCTGCGCCTCTTCGACATTAAGCCGGAGCAGCAGAGGTACGGCCTTCCCGCCCGCCTTCCCGGCTGCAGCCTCCCGCTGCCGCCACCAGGGGGCAGCCTTCCTTTACCAACGGGACTGGGTTTGGTTTGGCTTTTTTTTTTTTTTTTTTTTTTTTTTTTTTTTTTTAAATATATATTTTATTGAGTTTGTACAGAGAGGAAGGGAGAGAGATAGAGAGTTAGAAACATCGATGAGAGAGAGTCATCGATCAGCTGCCTCCTGCACACCCCCCACTGGGGATATGCCCGCAACCAAGGCACACGCCCTTGACCGGAATCGAACCCGGGTCCCTTCAGTCCCCAAGCCGACGCTCCATCCATTGTGCCAAACCGGTTTCGGCTGGTTTGGCTTTTAATAGGGAGGCTGGTGAGTGGCTGGCTTCTGTCCCAGCCCTAATCGGACCTGCCTGGAGTGCGTCTGTTGCCCATGGCAACAGGCTGGCTGTCTTCCAGGTCTTTAGAAAAGAGCAGCTGAGACTTCTTAATCTGTAGAAGCTTCTCATAGCAGCAGGCAGAGTCGCCCAAGTGTCCGGAAGCCTCCGGGAGGGACGTGGCCCTCTTAGCGGGAGCAGCTCCTGCCTCCTGCGGGCCCCCTCCTTGGCCGCCTCTGGGGGTGGGTGCCTCGGGACTATAGATGTCCGCTTCCAGGCGGTAGCCAGCAGCTCGCACACCCACGGGGCAGTCTCTCACCCTGCCCCTGGCATCTGGCGAAATCAGCTGGCTTTGGGGCAGGGCAGCTGTCTGTCTCAGGGGCCCCCTTCAGGTTTGAGCCGAGGTTCTCCGTTCTCTGACCCACCACCGTCCAGGTAGAGGGCTCCCAGAGGCGCCGGGACGGGTGACGGAGGCCCTGAGAGCCTCCGGGGCCTCTGCTCCGCGCCCTCCCCTGCCAGGCAGACCTGTCACGTCCCCAGTCTGGGGTGACAGCCAGCAGCTCGTGTTGAACGAGGGCTCAGCGTCCTGACGCCCGGGGCCTGAGGAGCAGGCCCACAGCCCGGAGGGGGTTTCTCTCGGAGGAGGAGGAGGAGGCCGGGTGCTGGTGCCGGTGCCGTGCAGGCGGGCCCACCGCCTCGGCCCAGGCAGCGTGGCCCCGTGTGCCCAGCTGCTCCGGCATCCTAGGCACTGCCTCGAGGCCTCAGGTGGCGCCTGCACTCCAGCTGTCGCAACGGTGTCCCCAGCAGGGAGTGGGAGAGGCCGGGAAGGGCACCGTCCGTCTGGCCAGCAGGGACGGGCCTCCAGAGGGCCCAACGGCGGGGACGGCCGAGGGTGGAAGCAGTGACGGGGGGGGGGGGGTGGCCACCGGCGGGGACGGCAGAGGATGGAAGCAGTGACGGGGGGGGGGGGGGGGGGGGGGGGTGGCCATTGGCAGGGACGGCTGAGGGTGGAAGCAGTGACCGGGGTGGTGGCCACCGGCGGGGACGGCCGAGGGTGGAAGCAGTGACGGGGGGGGGGGGGGGGGTGGCCACCGGCGGGGACGGCCGAGGATGGAAGCAGTGACGGGGGGGAGGTGGTGGCCATTGGCAGGGACGGCTGAGGGTGGAAGCAGTGACCGGGGGGGGGTGGCCACTGGCGGGGACGGCCGAGGGTGGAAGCAGTGACGGGGGGGAGGTGGTGGCCATTGGCAGGGACGGCTGAGGGTGGAAGCAGTGACCGGGGGGGGGTGGCCACTGGCGGGGACGGCCGAGGGTGGAAGCAGTGGGGGGGGGGGGGGTGGTGGCCACCGGCGGGGACGGCCGAGGGTGGAAGCAGTGACCGGGGGGGTGGCCACCGGCGGGGACGGCCGAGGGTGGAAGCAGTGACCGGGGTGGTGGCCCGGCGTCCGCGGCGGAAGCCGAGTGCTGTGCTCGGACGGGTCTTCGTGCTCAGTGCCTTGCTCCCGCCCTCTGACTCCGCAGATACCACCTCTTCCTGCCCCTGCACGAGCTCTGGAAACAGTACATCCGGGACCTGTGCAGCGGCCTCAGGCCGGACACGTGAGTTCCGCTTCTGAAGCCTTGCCCTTTGGGGAACCCATGCCTCTCCCCTGGCCCTGGCCCTGGCGGCTGTAGATGCAGCCTGGGAGCCCGCTTCCAGAGCTCTGTGTCCGGCAGGCGGTGAGGCTTCTGTCTGCCCCACAGGCAGCCCCAGGCGATCCAGGCCAAGCTGCTGAAGGCAGATCTCCATGGCGCCATTGTTTCCGGTAAGGGCCTGAGAGCAGGTGGCACCGGGGCAGCATTGTGGGGTCAGGGATCAGGGGGCAGCATTGCCGGGGATGTCAGCGCTGGGCGGGGAGATACCCTCTAGGTGGTCTCTGCCCTCACCACGCAGCCCCGACTGTCGCCTGGAGGGCGTGGGACATGTGTGACGTGGCTCGCGAATCCCGCCCACACCCCGGCCTGCAGGCCCCAAGGACACCTGTTGGCCATCACAGAGCCGCAGGCAGAGGCGGGAAGTAGGCCTCCCGCCACTCGGTGCCGGCCCGCACTCCCTGCTGGGCAGGTCTGAGCTGGACCCTTCTCCTTTGCAGTCACCAAGTCCAAGTGCCCCTCCTACGTGGGGGTCACGGGGATCCTCCTGCAGGAAACCAAGCACGTCTTCAAGGTCCTCACGGAGGGAGACCGCCTGAAAGGTGCGCTGTCCGCCTCGCCGCTCCCCGCGGCTGCAGGGCCTCAGGCGGCACCCACTCCAGGGACCTGCAGGGGCTGCGCCTGCCCCTGGGGTGCAGGAGCCGCGCCCTTGGCCGTGAGTCTGTGGGTCTGGGGGGCCTGGCAGGCCCCCCGCGTCTAGCAAGGGGCATGACCCACATATGCACAAAGGAAATTCCAATCCATATGTGTGGGTTTGGTTCCTTTAACTTTTTTTTTTTTTAATGTTACCTTTTTTTAATTTTTTTAATTTTTATTGATTTTGTACAGAGAGGAAGGGAGTTAGAAACATCGATGAGAGAGAGTCATTGATCAGCTGCCTCTTGCACACTCCCTACTGGGGATATGCCGGCAACCAAGGTACATGCCCTTGACCGGAATTGAACCCGGGACCCTTCGGTCCCCAAGCCAACGCTCTATCCATTGAGCCAAACCGGTTTCGGCTAATGTTACCTTTCTTTAAAAAATATTTTTTAATTGATTTCAGAAAGGAAGGGAGAGAGACAACGAAATATCGTTGATGGAGAGTCATAGATCGGCTGCCTCCTGCCCGCTCCGCACTGGGGATGGAGCCCGCAAACTGGTCACGTGCCCTGACCAGGAATCGAACCCTGACCTGGTTCATGGGTCGACACTTAGCCACCGAGCCACGCCCGCGGGCGGCTCCTTTAAATTTGGAGCTGGCTTTCCCGCTGCCGCCCTGCGTCTCCCCGCGGGTCTTCGGCTCTGGTTTCCACTCCGGGCATGGTCAGTGTTTCGCCGAGCGGAGCCCCCTGAAGCTCTGGGAGACCTGGGCGGGAGACCAGGGCTGGGAGGGAGACCTGGGGGGTGCGGGCCGGGGCGGTCCTGGTGCTGAGAGGGGCTCCCAGCTTGAGCCCTGACCGCCGGGGGCTGGGCTCTGGGTGGGACGGGGTGACCTGGCTGTGCAGGGTGATCCTGAGGGCCCGGTTTCCTGTGAGCTCATCCCAGAACCTCCGTGGGCGTGACTGCGGGCGGGCGTGCTGTCGGCCCCATGCGTCTCCCGCTCCCCCGCAGTGATCCCCAAGCTGGGCTGCGTGTTCTCTGTGGAAACCGACGGCTTCATCTCCTACATTCACGGGAGCAAATTCCAGCTTCGGTCGAGCGAGCGGTCCGCCAAGAAGTTCAAAGCGAAGGGAACCATGGACCTGTGAGCGCCGCGCCCACGGGTCTCGGCTGAGGGGAACGCGGCCCCGGCCCCGGCCCCGGGGAGACCACCCCCGTCGGTAGGACGCCTGAAGAAACGCCTGGCGCCCGGGAGCAGGTGCACCCTCCGGGGGCCTGCGTGTCCCTCCCTCCGAGGAGAGCGGGGCGGGAGACACCCAGTGGCCTGTGGCCCGTGGGCACCAGCTCTGCCCGCCTGCGTCTGCGGGCCCTGGGACGCGGCTGTTTGTGGAAATAAAACGCGCGAGGCCCTGGCTCCCGTTTCCGGGGCTCCTGCAGCCCAGCAGGTGGGAGGGTGGGGCCCGGGCAGGGCCGCTCAGGCCTCATCTCCGCTCTGCAGGCGCCACAGGCGCGGGTCCCGGCTCTGGTCTGTGTTGGGTCTGGAAACAGCTAAACCCCCACCTTGCCCTCCCTCGGGCCTGGTGGGCAGAGGGGGCTCCCTGGAGGGGGCTCCAGTCCGAGCAGCCGTGGGATTTGAAGAACTTGGTCACCTCCAGGCGCAGGGGGCCCCAGGGCCACAGGAGGAGAGGTGGGCAGGGGCGGGTCTCTGGCTGCCAGTCCCGAGTGCCCAGGAGGTGCTGGGCTCGGCCACTTGGCGGGAGGGGAGCTGCAGAAGCTGCGGGGGAAGTTCTGGTCCTGGGCCAGGCGCCTTCCGCTGGCCGTGCCCCGCCCTGAAGTCGCGGCCTCAGTGTCACCCTCTGTCCAGGGGGCCAGCAGGCGATGAGCGTTTCCTTGAGAGGCCCCGGGCCTTCCCGCACCCCGGCACGGCAGCCAGGTCCTGGGCTGCAGGGGGACCCCGGGGAGCTTCCCGTCCTCTGCGACCCAGCTGCTCCCCTGTCACTGGCATTTGGGGACCGTGGGCTCCACATGGCGTCTGATGTCTGGGCTGAGAAGGGTCAGCCGCCTCGCACGGGCTCAGAGGAGACATGGACGCTGCCCGTACTGAAGCGCTCCGGGCGGCGGCCTGTCCTCACCGCGAGGGCGTCCCGCCGCCGCCGTGCCCCATTGAGACCGTCTCTGATGTTAACTTAACCAGGGCTTCTGCTGGAGCTGTGTTGGACTTGTCCATTAATTACCCGCACGGCCCTTACTGGGTGTCTTAAACAGGCGTCCTGAACAAGAGCGGGAGACTGGGCAGAAACACACAGAGCGCACACGGCATGGCAAGGTGTGCACACAATATACCATGTGTCATGTTGCGTGCGGGAATTCGTGGCGCTTTATTACGTACACTCGTCGGCGCTTACCCAAGTCTTCGGCAATCGTAGACAAATGAAGGGGAAGGAATCCTTTGCAAAGACCACGGTTAAACCGTTAACCGAGTGGATGCACATGACATTGATTGACAAGAGGGGCGGGGCAGGGGCAGCCGAGGGGAAGGCCTCTTAGGCTGGTACCTGGTTGAGGACCAGCCTGGGGAGGCCTCTTCAGACATAACCAAATGGAGGTTTTTACGAGGAGATGAGCCCAGGGGCTGAGCAGCTTCAGGCCCGAGGGGGGCTCCGGGGCCCAAAGCCACTGCCCCCTCCCAGGACTGATCCTGGGTGAGGGCCCAGGCAGCTTGGGGCCTCCAGCCCTGGGACCTGGCTGCTCCTGCACTTTGTTCTTCCTTATCTGATGGACTGACTTAAATTTCCCCCCACGTCAGGCGCCTAGTAGTCCCCCGACGGCGCCCCCGGTAGGATGGGAGGTTCGGTGAGTGAGGCTGTCCACAGTGCTGGACTCGGAGGTCGCTGGGAGCTCCTCAGAGGATTTATTGCCCGTGCGACAGCCATGGATTCAAACGCTGGTCTGGGTCCCGGCCTGTGGTTGGGGTCACCCGGGCATCCTCCTGCTCCCAGACTAGAGGGAGCAACTCACTCCCCCATTGGCACACTCTGGTCCCCAGATGGGAGGAGGGGTGTGCCCAGGCAGGTGCATTGTGGGAGCCTATGGGCCGCTTCTGCACAGACTGGGGCCCGGGGTGGGAGTGGGGGGCAGGGGAGGTGCTCTCTGAGCAGCTAACGTGAGCGGCCAGAGGCAGGCTCAGCGAAGGCCCGGCAGGGCTGTCGGAGCAGCAGCAAGGTCTGCGTGTGGCACACAGAGGCTGCGGGCGGGTGGCCAGCGCTCAGGGACTGGGCTGAGCCCCTTGTGGGGCGGTGCCCCAGCCCCCGCTTCCCGTTGGCCCGAGGGGACCCCCAGTGCTGACCCAGAAACACCCCGTGGCCTCCTGGTCCGCAGGCGGATGCTCAGCCACGCCCACCAGGCATCCCTTTATTTTGTCCCTTAGATGCCACGTAGGAGGGAGCTCACGTGACCCTTGTTCTGACCCCAGGATGCTCCCCACGTCCCCATTCTCCCAGCTGACTCCCCACTCCCCTCGCCTCCCAGTGAGGCCTCCTCTAAGGCTCTGCCTCTGGGCACGGAGGGGACGGAGGTGGGCGGGCAGTGTGGTCCCCCCCGGGTGCTCTGTGCGCCCCCCACAGCCCGCCAAGATGGTGGCGTGGCCTCTGGTGACCTGGGCTGGGCGGGCCTCAAGGCCGCAGGCTGCCTGCAGGGATCTGCTCAGCACAGGAAGTGTCTCTAACCGTTCTGTTCTCTAACCCAGTGTTTTTCAACCTTTTTTGGGCAAAGGCACACTTCTTTCATGAAAAAAATCACGAGGCACACCACCATTAGAAAATGTTAAAAAATTTAACTCTGTGCCTATATTGACTATATATAAAGTAATTCTCTAGAATAGGAATCAAATAAACACAAAGAAAGTATTTTATAATTACTTTATTATGAAATATTAAGTAAACAAAATAGTGAAAAATTATAAAATTCTTGTCTGCACCTACGGCACACCAGGCAACATCTCGCGGCACACTAGCTGAAAAACGCTGCTCTACCCTCTCCCTTTCCAGAGCGGGACCAGCACCCGGCCGCCCCGAGTCCTGTGCCCGCCCACCTGCCAGCCTGGTCTCCGCACCTCACTCCGGTCCCCAGCTGCTGCTTTTGTTTTTAATTCCATTTCATTCTTTTTATTTATTTATTTTACAGAGTAGAAAGGAGGATAGTGTTAGAATCACCTATCAGGAGCCCCCCTAGTGCCTAGTCTCCGTACTGCACCTCGGCCTGCAGCTCCTTGGTGACGTAGCCCACCAGCAGCGCCAGCAGCCGCGCCTGCAGCGCCTGGCTGCCCATGACCAGCATGGTGAGCTGCACAGCGTCCGTCCACTCCAGGTGCCTGACGATGGCCGTGACCTGGCTGAGCAGCTTCTCCTGCTCGGCCCGCGGCAGCTCCATGAGGATCTGGGGGACCGGCTTAAACTGCCCGCTGGTCTTCCAGGCAAGGAGCCCCCCGACGGCGCCCCCTGGGGGACAGGACGTTCCGGTTAGGGGGGCTGTTCACAGGGCCGGCCTCGGGGCTGCTGGGAGCTGTCACAGGATTTAGGTGGCAGCCCATGACTCGGCCCACAGCCCATGGTTCAGGCCACGCCCGTGGTCTGGGTCCCGGCCCGAGGTTGGGGTCACCCGGGCATCCTCCTGCTCCCAGACTAGAGGGAGCAACTCACTCGACCTCCCAGGGACCACGGGAAGCGGCCAAACCTCCCCCATTGCCACACTCTGGTCCCCAGATGGGAGGAGGGCTGTGCCCAGGGCAGGTGCATTGTGGGAGACGAGGGGCAGCTTCTCCTGCACAGCCTGGGGCCCAGGGTGGGAGTGGGGGGCAGGGGGCCCTCTCTGAGCAGCTAACGTGACGGCCAGAGGCCTGGGTTCAAGCTCCCCCGTCCCTGCAATCAGACAGGAGCGGCCCACCCAGGGGGGCAAAGGCACACACCTCGGGCAGGGCGCCCCCCAGGCCGCACCCACGGCCCCGCAGGAGGAGCCCGTGCTGCTGAGACAGGACACGTGTGTGCCCGCACACGTCTGTCCAGAGGCCGTGTCTCACTCAGCTCCCAGCCCTCCGCGGTGGCAGCTCCCGTGAGGCCGCTGTGGACAGAGGCCTTCGTGTCCGTCCGCCCTTCTTCCCCGGCCCCCCCCCCGGCCCTGCACTCACCGACAAACAGGCCCGGCGGGCCCAAGAGCAGGCCCCCGATCCCGGTCACGATGCAGGTGAGCGCGACGCCCCGCTTTACGTGCTTGACGGCCGCCTTCATCTCCTTCTTCTCCGAGAGTTTCCACAGCAGCCACATGGCCTCGTCCACCATCAGGGGCGTGGCGCGCCTGCCGCTGCCGGACGGAGGGTGCCCACGGGTCAGCGCTCCCGCCCGAAGCTCGCTCTTCATCATTGATGTCTCTCTCCCTCTCTCTGCTCCCGCCCGAAGCTCGCTCTTCACCATTGCTGTTTCTCTCTCTTTTTCTCTCCCTTCCTCGCTGAAATCACAAAAAACATTAAAGAAAAGACAGAAAAGGAAAGCCACCGCTGTAAAAGGCAGCCCGGCGCCATTCGTGGGCCGGCCGCGGCAGGAAGACACACCGGCCAGAGGAGAAGAGACTCCAGCATTCCCGGGACCCGGCACGGAGCAGGCCCTGGCCTTTGGGAACCGGTGACAGGGAGCCTCTGGGGTCAGGAGGCTGTTGGCCCAGCTGGCAGGGGGGGCAAACAGGGCGGGCGGGGCAGGCTCTGCCCAGGGCCCTAGGGATGGAGCGCCCCTGCCTGGCGGGGCTGGGAAGTAAAATCAAAGCTGAGCTATTTCCAGCTGGAGCTGAGGCCAAGCCCAGCTGGCACCTCCCTCCCTCCCCCTCCAGGGGGCACTTCCCCCTCCCCCTCCCCCTCCCCCTCTCCAGGGCTGACTCATGCTGACTGCTGCTGAGGAGGGCACAGGGCACAGGGCAGCCTCCAGCTCCGCCTGTGGGCAGGGTTTCGGAACTTCTCGCAGGCCCAGGAGAGCCGAGTCCCTGTGCCAGTGCCTGGGACCTTCTGTGTGTTTTATATTCATGTACTTTCCATCGGTGTCCGAGGGGAAGCGGAGGGAGCCAGAGAGACACCCTGAGAGAATCATGGACCAGCCGCCTCCTGCACGCCCTCACCGGGGACCCGTCCCACAACCCGGGCCTGTGCCCCAACAGGAATGGACCGGTGACCTCCAGCTGGAGCCACGCCGGCCGGGCCCGGGACATTCCCCAGATCAGGGTCCCCCAGGGCACAGCAGCCTGGCGGGGGACGCTGCCTTCACAGGAGCCAGGGGGTCTCCAGCCGCACCCGGGAGGCAAGACCCAAGGGCCTGACCTGGACCCGGCGTCCATGGCTCCGTCCTCGAGGCAGAAATTGCAAAACGGCATCAGCCGGACAAGTCTGCCTGCCGGGAGGGGTTTGAGGTGACCAGGGTGTGTGTGTGTGTGTGTGTGTGTGTGTGTGTGTGTGTGTGTGACACAGGCACCTGGGTTTGAGAAGGAAGTCCTTTCTGCTCTCCCATGTGGGGCGGCAGCCGGTTTTGGGCTGGGCTCTGGGGGCCCTGTGGGAGGCCAGTTCTTCCTGCCCCTGGTGGACCTCCGCGGATGGGACTTCTTCCTCCTGCAGCTCCATCTGGAAAAGGAGTGAACTGCCCGTTAGCCGGCCAGTGCGGCCCAGCTCCGCGGGGCCAGGATACACAGCTCAGCCGCCCACGTGCGGTCACCCGCTGCCTCCCGGGAACACGGCCATGTGCCCGAGGGGCACCCAGACCCTGAGATGCACACACAGGCGCAGGGACCTCCTGGGATGCCACCGAGCAGGGCACAGGGAAGCCGGGCGATCAGCCGCAGCTGCCGCAATCGGCTCCCTGGTCGCCGGCCTCCTGGGAGGACCCCCTGCCCTCCGACCCGGCCCGGCCCCCATCTGCTTTGAGGCCCCAGGGCCCCCTGCCCTTCGGCCCGCCCCACACGGCGCCCCTGTCCCCCTGGGCTCTGGGCCTTGGGCCTCGGGCCCAGGGACCCACCTCCTCCCGGCACCACGCACGGAGCACAGGGCCTGGGAGGGAGGGAAGGGGCTATGGTAGCGTTTGGTGACTTCCAGGCCGGAGCCTGAGGCCAGGGGCTGGGGGCCTGGGGGCGTCAGAGGCCAAGGGCGGCTTCACTCCTGGGCCCCAGGATCAGGTGATGGCGGGGAGCCTGGAGCAGGCAAGGGGCCTGAGGGTGGTGGGGTGACAGGGCCCCCCAGATCCCCGAATCCCCAAATAGAGATTGCTCGTCATACCAGCACCCCTCAGTGCTGGGTGAACAGCGGTCACATTGTTCCCTCAGGGAATCCAGGCAGGAAAACCAGTCTGCACCTGCTCCGGTGGGGCTGGTTTAGGGAGCGAGAGAGACACCCCTGAGGAGAATCATGGACCAGCCGCCTCTTGCACGCTCGCACTGGGGGCCAATCCCACAACCCGGGCCTGTGCCCTGACAGGAATGGACCCGTGACCTCCTGGGTCATGGGTCGACCCTCAAGCTCTGAGCCACGCTGCCTGGGCCCCGTGACATTCCCCCAGATCACGGGTCCCCCACAGTAGATGTTAGTAACAATGTAACTAACCACCCAGCAATGTTGACAATGTAATAACTAATTAACCACCCTTGATGCCAGCAACAATGTCACACATGACTTGCAGGGGCCCTGCCCTTGGAGCACCTTTCCCATCGCAGTTACGTGGCCCGTGTGGGTGCTGGTAGGTGTAGGCCCACACACACGGCCCCCCGTGCTGTGGCTGCGGGTCACACCCTGACACGCCGGGCAGGCGCGTGGTCCGGGAGCCAGTGCATCCGGGCGTGTGCACATCACACAGCTGCCCGGCCACGCGTGTCCGGAGTGCGTGCCCACGTCAGTGACGCCGGCTGCACAGCTGTGCAGTCTCCACCGCGTTCTGGAGCTGCCATCAGCGCACACAGAACTGCTGGTAATTGGTGTCTAAAACGCGATAAACAGAGGGCAGTACACGCCCATGGGACCATCAGCACCGCCGAGGCCACCAGTACCTGTCAGCTCTAGCGGTTCCCTGCTGCCCGCTCTGATATAAGAGAGAGTGTGACTCAGCGGTGAGAGCGTTAGTCCTTGGGCTGCAGGGCCGGGCTTGTAATAGAGAGTGTGACTCAGCGGTGAGAGCGTTAGTCCTCGGGCTGCAGGGCCGGGCTTGTAATAGAGAGTGTGACTCAGCGGTGAGAGCGTTAGTCCTCAGGCTGAAGGACCGGGCTTTGATTTCCATCAGGGGCAGGGACGTCAGTTTCAGGATCGATGTCTAGCCCCAATAAGGTGGGAGGCAACCAGGTGATGTGTGTCTCCTTTCACCCTATCTCTCCCCCTCCCTTCTACTCTCTCTCAAAATCAATGGGAAGAAAATACACCTGAGTGAGGATTTACAAAAATAAAAATAAAGGACCTGCGGGCTGGATGCTGCCAGCACTCCATACATGTTTCCGTGCCCGAAACCCTCCCCTCATCACTGACCCTTCTACTCCCCCCCCCCCCCCCCCGTCCCCCTACAGGGAGGGCCTGAAGCATTAGCCGGGGCTCCCCTGCCCCAGGGGCAGACCCCTGCGCCCCTAACGGGAGCTTCAGCTTGAGTTGGGGTGACAGGCTGCGGCCTAGCCCAGGCTGGGGAGAGCCCAGCTCCGGGATGGGGAGGGGAGCCCAGGCTTGGGCCTGGGAGAGGTTCTGTTTCTCTGCGGGCAGCGCCCCCTGGCGGCCCATGAAGTCCCCGCGGCTCACTCCTTCCCTGGAGACTGGGGAGACGGAGGAGAGGGGGGGAACCAGGAGGGGAAGAGGCTTCTAGGTGGATCTGGGGGAAGGGAGGGGAGGGAAGCAGGAGGGGAGGAGGAAGGGGAGGGGGAGAGCGGTGAGGATCACGCACACCTGCCGCCCTCAGGTCTGAGGCCCTGAGACGCTGTGACCGGGGACCGCCCTCCCCCTGGCGGGGCCTCCCGCGTGGGGTCCCCACCACAGCCATGCTCAGCCCTGAGGCCTGCCCGGGCGTCACTCCGGGCCCGGCCTCGGGCTCCTCATTTGGGAAAGGGCCGGAGGGTGCTGGTGCCCTGGGACTGCCCCGGAGGCCCCAGAGGCCGAGCGGAGGGTCCCGATGGTTCTGCTTGTCCTGTCGGGTGTGGCTCAGTGGATAGAGCCTCCACCTGTGGACTGAAGGGTCCAGGTTCGATTCTGGTCAAGGGCACGTACCTCGGCTTCAGTTTCGGTGCCGGTTCCGCTCAGGTTGTAGCCAGGAGAATAAACATAAGTGGCTCTCTGCACTGCCATGTTTCTCTCTCTCTCACTTCTTCCTTCCACTCCGTCTAAAATCAACGGGAAAATGCCCTCAGGTGCGAATTAACCAAAAAATGGGAAGAAACAGAGGTGCCTGCTGTGGGTCAGTCGCAGGCTGTGAGAGGAACAGCTCCAGGTGAGCGGCAGGCAGCCAGGGGGCCAGGAGGCCGACCCCACACCTGCACCCCCAGCCCCGGCCCCACAGCAGCCCTGAGGGCGAGGCTGTGTTCCCGGACTCACATGGGGTCCCCCGAGGCCAGCACCCCACCCCACCCCACCTGCTTCCCAGAGGCTGAGGGAGCCAACCCCTACCTCACTGGCTCTTTTGGGAGAAACTCAGCCAGACCCAAGGCTGGGTGACCCCAGGCACAGGCCGCCCCGCACCCTCACCGCCCTCAGCCTCTCCTGGAGCGCATGGCAGAGCTTCACCTCCCTGTGAAAGCTGAGATGCTAGGCCCGGCGGCGGGGCTCAGGGGCTGAGCATCCATCCCTGGCCCAGCAGGTCAGGGTTCGATTCCCGCTCAGGCACATGGCCTGGCGGCGGCTCAGTTCTCAGAAGGGAGTGCAAGAGCCGCCGATGAGTGCTCCCCTCTCATCACTGATGTTTCTCCTCTCCCTCACCTGCCTCTGACATCAGTGGGGATCTATGTAAAAGGAACAAATAAACGGAGAAGAGAGCCTGCAGCCGCCGCGGTGGCCAGAGCCAGGCCCGGGCCGCTGCGCTGGGTCCTGGCAGGGACTGGAGGGAGGAGGGCCTCGGGGTCCTGAGGAGGCCCAGGGGGAGGTCACCGTGGGCCGCGTCCCGCTGTGCCCGCTGAGCGCTGGGCCTGAGCTGTGGCTTATGTTTCTCTTTCCCGTTCCTGGGGGGGGGGGGGGGGTCTGGGAAGCCGGGGCCGGGCTGAGAGGCGGCCTGAGGGGTGGGGTGGGGGGAGGCTTGTTTAGGGGGAGCACTTGGACAGACAGGAGGACCCCCCTCACCCACACCCCCTCACCCACCTGTGAGCCAAGCTCCCCACACTGTGGCCGAGGAGACACCCTGGGAACTGGGCCAGCGGGCGGAGGGGTCCGGCAGAGGTGCTCCCACTGGGACCTGGGCTGCAGCTCTCCCGAAGGGAAGTCTGTTCAGGTTTTATTTCCTCAGCGGCCTGCCCTCTCTCTGCCCTGATTGGTCAGGGCTCAGTGGAGCGGGAGGGAGGGGAGACCCTGGCAGAGACCACCCCTGGTGTCCCCGGGTGCTCCGGTCCCGGACTGTGGGAATCTTTTCTCCTCTGGCAGGTGTGGCTTCCGGCCAGCCCAGGAGCGGAGGCAGGTTGTCTTTTCCAGCGGTTGTTTTTTCCCCAGAGGTTTTTTTTCTTTTGTTTCCTCTTGGTTTCAGAGAAGAAAGGAGTAGGAAGAAGCCTTCCCCTCACACCCCACCCCTCACAGGGGCCACCTCGCCCCGGCTTCCCAGAAGCACCCCCTCTTCCCAGAACCACACTGTTCTCTCACAGCCTGCGACTGACTCACAGCAATACTTTCTGTTTCTTCTCATTTGGGGGTTATTCCCCACCTGAGGACATTTTCCCTTTGATTTTAGAGGGAGTGGCAGGGAGCGGAGAGACAAAGAGAGAAACATCCCAGTGGGAGAGACACATTGATTGTTTTTTCCAGTCTTTGCCCTGACCAGAACCCGGATCAAAACTGAAACAGGGATACAGAGACAGTAAAGCAACAGACTGTGAAATTCCAGTGTGGAGGGTAGTGAGATATGGGGGAGATAAGAGATCAACTTGTACGCATGCATATAAGCATAACCAATGGACAGAAAAACTCTGGGGAGGGAGGGCATGTTTGGGAGGGGGGGCAATGGTAAGATGTGTACACATATAATACCTGAATAAAAAAAGGAACTGAAACCGAGGTACGTGCCTTTGACCAGAATTGAACCCGTGACCCTTCAGTCCATGGGTGGAGGCTCAATCTGTTGTGCCCAGATTTTGTGATCCCCAAAGACGACCAGGGAGCCGAGCCAATGCAATTGCAGAAAGCCTGTATTTCGGACTAGTCCGAGCTCGGTCCCACTTACACAGACAACGGTGCTGTGGGCGAGAGAAGGAATTGAACATATCCCTGGGTTTTATAAGGGTGGTGATGTCACTGCTTTGGCTGACCCTGATTGGTTGGGTGAGGACTAGGGTCAGTTACACAAAATGGAGGATAGCCCCGCCCTGCCCCACAGTGCAACATGGAGTCAGGAGTTGCCCCGTCTGCCCTGCCTTCTCATTCCCCTCTGGTCTTGAGACTTGGGGGCCCAATCACGGGACCGCTTGCACTTCTGAAGGGTGCATAAAGTCCCTCCTTCCCGGTGCCCTGATCTGACATTTTGGGG